GCTTAATACCTAAAATATTCTCTGTATTTTAACAAAATTCATATTTTAGTTCTTTCTATTTTTTTAACTGAAAACATCACAGGGTTAACTTAATAACAATATTAAAAATTAATAGATATAAAAAATAGTAAAAGGATTAAACTGAGAATTTCACCATAATATAAAGTATTAACCCTTCTTTTATATTGGAAAAAGCAATTTTGAACCCCTGTTATTACGTCAGATTATGTTCTACTTCCACATACACGGACGTATAATCAGCAGCGCGAGGATTTTATAAGCGACACACCCGAAAATTATGCTCTCCTACGGAGTTAGATGGCGATGGCATGCATGATGCAAGGGTGGTAATGATTTTGCCTCTATTATTCACAACAAATTCAAAGGCCAAGAATTATCATTAATCACTAATCATCTTCCATTCTTCGCTACGATAATTAACATAATTAAAGTGTATAAGAATTTGTATTTTTCTATTCTTTAAATGAAATTTTTTGTTTAAAAAATAATTAATGTTACCTTTAAATATTAAATGTTAAATCTGTAAAAAAATAATTTTATTTATTTTTTATTAGTATAAGAGCTAAATCGATCTATTTAATAGTCAGATGACTAATTTAAACTAGCCTCTATAATAAAGGGACTAAATTGATAGTATACCTATAATAAAGGGACCTGATACGGGGAGTTGGATATCATATCTTCCTGAGTTTGATTTAGTGTTGGGCCTTAGCGTCATATAATATGTGTATCTATGTAATTCAATACACAAAATCATAACTAATAAATACTTTGTAGGCTCAGCCCAAATTTGGTTTAAATAGTGAATTCAAACAAGCAATGATGGACCGACCCATACGGGTAAGTGAGAGCAGAATAAACTTTAGACGTGTAACCAAACAAAACTCCACCCGAAGAGCCCGACAGCGGAAAGTTCTTATTCCGTCCCTCAATTTCTTCCCTCCTTTCTTATTAGCGTTGGCATGCTCTAACACCCTCGAGCATTACCAACATACAAGGGAAAAATGAAAAGAAACATGTGCGAAGTGAGGGTTATAAAGATACAAGCCTTCTCAAGTTTCTCAAGTTGTGGCCAAACAAGCTGAAGAAGGGAAGGTACTTTAATCTAGACTGTAATTTTGATTTGTACTTCAGTCACTACACTTGCTGCTTAATTATTTTTTTATTACACACACACTCTTTAAAAATATTTTGGGATATTTATGCTCAAGATGCATGTATCCTCGATTATCCTGAAAAGAGTGCACTCAGCCCAAAAAAATGCAACTATATTTGGAGATACTCAACTTAAATTGGGTTTTCTTATTCAGTAACCTTTCAGTTTGGTTTATGGTTAAAATTCCTTGATCGATTATAATTGTCTCCAAGCACATGGAAGTGCTGAGGTTTACTTGTGTTGAGGCATGAGTTTCTAAGTGCGTGCATTCATTGGGTTAATATTTATCTAATGGTGCCTGAATTTTGTTTCTCATTGAGTTAAATCACCTTTGTTGGAATACTTGTTACAGGAGGCAGTGAGAAATATAAGAAGAGATGTCTATAAAGCCATATGAAAAACTTGAGAAGGCTTGTATCTTTATAACCCTCCCTTCGCACATGTTCTTTACATTTTTTCCCTTGTGTGTTGGTAATGCTCAAGGGTGTTAGAACATGTCATCCAAAACCCCTTGGAAAGGGTATTTAAAGGATCACTCCTTCCTTCATTTGTTGAACGTGGTGAGACAACTCCCTTGCACGCTCGCATTGTTGCTGTCCGGCCAACTCGAGATGTGGTTCTATCTGGAAGAGTTTCCGGGTAGATTCAGCTGGTTTGACTGCAGTTGTTACAGCTGATTAATTGTTGATTTATTGTGGTTTAATCACAACTGTTACGGGTGAATAATTACAGCTAATTTCTGATTTTATGCTGATGAGAGAAGCCTATAAATACTATACAAGTTTAGAAGTTCAAGGCATCCGAAAATTAAAAGCCAACTTGTTCTCTCTAAAAATTCTCTTTTCTTGCGAGCCTTGTTCTTCTGTTTCCAATTTTCCCAAAAAAAAAATGTTTCATTCCTCAGTTCTTTTTTGTTCACGAGGTTCTTTTTATTTACGAGAAGGAGAAGAGTAATATCATCATTTTTCCACCTCGTTTTTAAGTGTACAAATTCGTGTAGAGACAGTGCTAATTGAGAGACAATCGCTTATAGCAGCGACTACATAAATCGAGATGAATTCATTTTTAAGACAATAATTAATACTACGATATGATTATTTAATCATTTATTTATTTTAAATTATCAAGTATTGCTAACGATTTGGTTTTACAGTTACTATTTTATTTTACCAGCATTGTGCTCTTCAATTTATCTTTTCTTGATATTTGTATTCAAATTTATTGAATTGCTTGTTGGTCATAAGACCAATCAGCATTAAATGTTTCATTCATATGGTCTTATGTATGTGGTATTAAGTTGTTAGTTTTGTTTCAATGTTTGTAGAAAATTATCTTAATCATGTACTTAATTAAATATTATTATTGTAAATCTTTATTGTAATTTAGGATATTTCATATTTTGAATAAAATTAGATTTTTTTTTTTAAAAAAAAAGTTAAGTTGTTTTACTATGATTTTTTAAGTGGACAGAGTAAATTATGGATGTTAATTTATTTTAAAATTGTTAATTGTTTTTAAAGTGATATAAATATCTTTTTAAAGTAATATTAATTTTATTTTTAATTATAGATAATTTTCATTTAAAAAAAATAGGATGTCAAACACCCCTAATAAAAGGGTGGTTCCATCAGTGTTTATTCATGCATGATACTACAATAATTAAATTTTTAAATAAATACATTAAAGTTAAAAATCTGATCAATATAATAAATAATGTAAAATGCTTGATGGATTGAAACTTGACATAAAGAAAAACATGGAAAATAAATAAAATATGTGCCTGCAATAAAAATATATGAAGATGTTAAAATATAAAAATAACAAGGATATTAAATTAGTAGCCATCCGGACTCCGTGTGTAAGAGGAGCCGCTTCGACCATGCTAGCATCTGATGGTACAAGAACCCTAAATGCATGGCAATCAATCACCACCAACTACGAGAGAATCGAAAGAGGTTGAGCAAGCGCCATCTACGTCAATTTTGGAACTCTTAGTTTATCTTTTATTTGATAAATTCAATTTTTTTATATTTTTATTTAAATATTTATATTGAAAATTTAACTATTTATCCATGATATATATATGCTTTATATCCTTGTCATTTACCTAACAAATGAAATCTAAATTTAATTTTTCAAAATCTTATTTCCAAATGGATCATAATGTAATTTTGCCATTGCTAGAGAATTTGTTATTGAATTAAAGAGATGGAGAGAGCATCAAAATTATCAGGAAAATGATTAGATTCCATTATGGAAACAAACACATGAGAACTTGAGACACACACTAATTAATGCATTCCCACGTTTTGTTTGGATTTTTTAGTGTTTTCCACCAACCAAAACCATTCCCAGCGTTTTTCATCTTTCTCGCGTATGTGTGTGTGTTTCTCTCTATAGATTTATATGCCCAACACTCGTTTTCCATCGGTCCATTGGTACCTTAGTTTATACATACCTACATAGCATAATCAATTTCTTTATGATGGAGTGATTGCAATGCATGCCCAGTTTTCCCATATATTAATTACTTTTAAATCATATCATCATCATCATCATATATATATATATATATAGGGATCAATGTTTGAGTTTCACCATAGCTCTCATCTGCCTTCACTAGTAAAAACAAAAACAAAAAACATATAGAGAGAGCAATGCAAAGGGATAACGACGTGGCTGTAATGCAGTCAAATATACTCTGCGGAAGATAAATGCAGGAATGGGACAATTCAAAGAATAAAACTCTATGCATTTCAAGATTCTTCTTCCAAAACTATTAATTAAAGATGTGTATTACTGAGCGATAATAGTTGTGTATACCTCATCAATAAACTAATCTTCCTTTACAATTAAAATATATCACTGAACTTATTGAGTGACCTAAGTGGTTAAAAAAAAGAGTTATTTTCTTAAATTATCATAGGCTTAACAGTTGTATCTACATGATATATGTATGTGATGGCTTAGAAAAATTATAAACATACTCTATCCTATTAAAAAATGAATCAGTACCCATACCTCATTTCACAAGTTGTTCAAATAATAATTAAGGAAAATCTCAAACAATCAAATAGATTTTGGAAATAATCTCAACAGACCAAAATAAATTTGGTAGAAAATGTTTCAAAAGTTAAGGAAAATCTCAAACAATCAAATAGATTTTGGAAATAATCTCAACATACCAAAATAAATTTGGTAGAATATCTTTCAAAAGAATTTGGTAAAATTATGTATGAAAATTAAGAAGACAAAATTTAATTTTTTTTATATAAGCTGCTAATTTTATTAAAAATAAAAAATATTCAAATTATAATTAAGGTTTATAATTATAACTGTAAACCAAATACATAATAAGAATATTTTTATATAATCATTAACATAAGAAAACTAGTCTCTTAAGATCACACAATGACTATATAAGGAAAATGTTAAAAAAATTAACCGAATAAACTCGAACAAAAAGTAAATATGAACAAATCTAATTGCATCGACAAACGAATCATAAGAAGAGATCAAACTATTTAAAGAAAATTGACAAATTACAAATCAAAAGAGCTACGTGAAACAATTATCTACTAACATAACTTGTATAGATTTATAAATGATAATAATATAGGAGTGAAAAAGAAAAGGACAGGACAGCAGTGCCCCCAATTCTATAGATTTGGATGATCCCATGCACCCATTAGCGGGAATCTCTTGGGAATTCATTTGTCTGCTTCCCCTTCTTTCTCTCTTCACTTCTTTAAATATATACTCTGCCACTGTGAGCCAGTTTTAGTTTATACTTGACCACTCGCTCTCTCCCCTTTCCATCCAAATGTTTTCCCACTTCCTTCTCTCCCTCCCTTCTCCCTCTTCTTCTTCTCTTTCCTTCTCCAACAATCATCCTCCCTTACCCTTTGCAGGTACATACATAATCACAGCCTTTTCATTCTCTTCGGAACCATGCTTAAACTCAGACAAAGAATTCCAAGTTCAACCACCCTTCTTTTGTTTCTTAATCTCTCCCTTTTTTTCTTTTCGATTTTGGTTTTTTGCAATATGGATCTTTCTTTCTTATCTGTTCTGTTTCTGGTTTTTGAGATAAAACAGTCATCAAAAAGAAGATTAAAAAAACTGGAAAATTTTGAAATTCTACTTGGTCCTGCTGGAGGGACACAGCCCTTGATTACGTTTCTCTTCTTCTTCTTATTATATTATTATTTTCTTAACCGTTGGAAGATGAGTTTTACTTGAGCATAACTTCTTTTTATCCTCTCACTTGACATCTTAGTCGCTTTCACTACTGCTAAAAGATTTGTGTTCCAACTAACTTTTTCACAATTATTTTAATCAGCAGTTCTAACTTCATACCTACATTCTGTCCATATTATTTGTCCTATTTTTTATCCTTATGTGCTTAAAATTAAAACCTCATAAATCAGCAATCACTCAAGTTTATAAAAATATAAAGTAGACCAATTATTATTTTTATTTTAATTTAACTACAGGTATTTGGCCATTATGGTGTAAAGACAAAGGAGGTAACTTTGATATACTGCCCTTGTGCAGAGCTATATCCAAACCCCGCGCGCAAGGTGCGGTGTTTACTTGATTACAATTTAAACATTTGTATTATAATCTTTAATATAGTAATTAATTTAACAGTAATATTGTTTATGTGCAGAATATGCTAGCGTGTTACAAAATGGTCTGCCTGGGATAAAGTGGAAGGAGATTGCGGATGATGACACCGATGAAGAGGAAGCTCTTAAGGTGAATGATTTCAACCACAACCAAACACCTGTTTTGTTTCTTTTTATTATTATTTAAATTCATATATATATTTATACAGTGATGTGATTTGTTTTGTCCGGCAAAAAAGGTTTTCGAAGTGAATAGGGTAAAGGAACGTGTCGAAACCATTAAATCCATATTGGACTCCATGGAGGATGGCGAGATAACAAGCTCGGCTTATGACACAGCCTGGGTTGCTCTCGTCGAAGATGTCAACGGCAGCGGCGCTCCTCAGTTTCCATCGAGCCTCGAATGGATTGCCAACAATCAGCTCCCCGACGGATCATGGGGCGACAGACAAATATTCATGGCACATGACCGATTGATCAACACTTTAGCTTGTGTTATTGCCTTGAAAACATGGGGTATTCATCCGGAAAAATGGCAGAAAGGTGTTGCAAAATTTTTGTTTGCTGTAAAAACAAAGACATTAACCGGTGATTAACAGATATGTTATTTTATATATGCATGCTTCAGGGGTGTCGTTTTTCAAAGAGAACATAAGTAAACTCGAAAACGAAAGCGAGGAGCACATGCCGATAGGGTTTGAAGTGGCCTTTCCTTCGCTTCTCGAAATAGCTCGACGTTTAGAAATCGAAGTACCTTATGACTACCCTGTCTTAAAAGACATATACGCCAAGAGAGACCTGAAACTCGCAAGGTATTTTTTTTCTTTTGAAAACTCAAATTCCCAAGGTTACTTTATTCACTAAAAGAAGCAGCCTAATCTTTTTAACATATATATATATATATATATATATATTTGAAGGTGTAGGGCCCTTAAAGTAATGATATTTTTCATGTATGTAACTTAATTATTATGCGTGTGGGATAGGATACCAAAGGAGATAATGCACAGTGTGCCCACAACACTACTCCATAGCCTAGAAGGGATGCGAGGCTTGGACTGGGAAAAGCTTATGAAGTTGCAGTGCAAAGATGGGTCCTTCTTGTTCTCTCCATCCTCCACTGCCATCGCACTCATGCAAACTAAAGATGAGAATTGTCTCATATATTTAATGAATGCTGTTCAAAGATTCAACGGGGGAGGTAAAGTTACTAAACCAAACTAGTCATTGTTTTGAGATTTCCAATGAACTTGTAACATTTAAATTTGATTATCTAGTCCCCAATGTGTACCCCGTCGACATGTTCGAACATATCTGGATCGTCGACCGCTTGCAACGCCTCGGGATTTCGAGATATTTCCGGACAGAGATCAAAGAATGCCTAGATTATGTTTATAGGTAACGGTATTGGTTAGCACCGGCGTGTATCTCATAAAACACCAAGATCAATTAACTTTCTCCTGATCTTTGGTGTCTTGAAATTTCAGATACTGGACTAATGATGGGATTTGCTGGGCGAGAAACACGCGGGTTCACGACATCGACGATACGGCCATGGGGTTTAGGTTATTAAGATTACATGGATACGAGGTTTCTGCAGGTACAATATAAGCTTCTGTCTCTATTATATTCTCTTCAATGGGTTAATATGTCATTAAATTATGCCATGAAAACAGATGTGTTCAGACATTTTGAGAAAGGAGGGGAGTTCTTCTGCTTTGTGGGGCAGTCAAACCAAGCCATAACAGGGATCTTCAACCTGTATAGGGCTTCCCAGGTGCTGTTCCCTGGAGAAAAGATTCTCGAGGATGCCAAGCGCTTTTCCTCCACATTTTTAAAACAAAAACAAGCTGCTAATGAATTGCTAGATAAATGGATCATTACCAAGGACTTACCCGGTGAGGTAATATATATTGTCGTTTTATTCTTTCACTTCGCTACATATAATTATTTCAAGCAACTCCAACTAGGCAGATCACTTGTTCTGAATCTAAACATCATTAACAATATGAAACACAAGGCTTTTGCAATTGCAAACCTTTTTTCCCCCTTCTTCTCAATATTTGGCTTTCTTTATTTAAAGATTTGGATTCCATTTCTTTTGTTTTGTTTTTAAAATGATTTAGTATAATTTACTAAATAGGTTTATTTTGGATTTCATTTCACCTACCCTAAGTAATTATCTTCTATTAATTCAGCTATAGAAACAGAAGTTTAATAATAAATGGTAGTGGCATTCAAACTTGACTTAACCTAGATCAGTGGACACTCAACTCAAATTTACTAAATAAATGGAGGGCAAAAGTTGTTTGTTTTATTAAAGGGTGGAAAATTGGGAAAAATCTTACATGTGACAACCTAATATGCCTAATATATGACTAATGAAAGACGTTATTGGAAATATCATTATTTTTTAACATTTTCGATAAAAAGTTACCGGAAATATTATTATTTATACCGAAAATGTTATTATTGGGTGCTTTACCGTATTTGTTAACATATTCGGTAAAACGCTACTTAAAGCGTTATTTTTTCTACCGGAAATATTAAAAACATTAATGTTTTAGGTTAAAAAAATAATGTTTTAGGTAATTTTTAATAGAAATTGTTAAAAATATAATAACAATTTTAATAGCGTCTTTTATTAATCGTATATTGAGACTGATGTACAACATAACTTTAATGAAAAAATTTCTTTGTGGTATACCATAAAAAGCCACAAATCCAAACAGCCTACTTTGTCTATATTTGATTTATTCTCTATCTACTAACTTTCATTGTTTGGTAGGACTTTTCCCCTCTTTCTTTTTCATACACTCCCGGTATGAGTATAGGTCAGTTGGATCGAGTTTTCGGTCAATTCGAATTGCTTTGATCTGGAAAATATATACTTTTCATTCAACTCAAATCTAATCTAACCTTTTGAGATAAAATATGAACTCGACCCGAAATAATATATTTATTAAAAAATATCATATTTATTCAATAAAATAGAGATTTAATTAAAAATAATATATAAGGTAAAATTATATTTTTTTGGATTGGGTCAGATCAGATATTTTTCACTCTAAACCCGAACTTATCCTAATTTAAAAAAAAAATCTTACTCATTTAGGTCGGGTTCCGTGCTCATCCCACCTTTGTGAGTGTTAATTAAGGTAGGTTGGCGATAATAGAAAGAAATTATATCACATTGATCCAATATTTTAAATATGATTTTTAAATTTTTTTAAAAGTCTATAATGATTATAAGATAAATTGTTAAAATTTTTTAGTTATTGACAATGCATACACATGTAGACGTAATTACTTGAATTCGGAACATCTAAAGAATAACACTCTATTTAACCACTAACATCACTTAATAATTTCTTAAATTATTTTTATTGGACGATCAAAATTAAAATCCACACGTATATGTTGATTAAACCCTTGGATTGTAACCCGTCCACTCAAGCATAAAATTAACATCATTGTCATATCGTCTTTTCAAAAGAAAATATTCATTCATTAAAATTAGGTGTACGATATAAATTGATTTAAATTAATCAAGATAAATCTTAAGGAATTGAAAAGGAAAAAAATATTATTCAATAAAGAAGTGGAAAAAAACCCATTTTTTCTGCCACTTCATAAAGTTGGAACGAGTCATCATCATCAATTAACAGCAAACCACGTTCACGATTAAGATGGATTGAAATATATATATGTATCGGTATAAGAATAATTCATGATTAGTTTTGTTCAACGATATTTAGGTTGGATTGGCATTGAAGCTTCCATGGTATGCAAGCTTGCCTAGAGTTGAAACCAGGTTTTACATTGAACAATATGGAGGCGAAGATGACGTATGGATTGGAAAGACTCTTTACAGGTGTTTTTCTCTCTTCCTTATTTTATATTTCTTATATGTTATAATGATTATACTTGCATGTTATCATAATCCAAAATAGAATCAAGATTAAATTACGAAGAGATAAATTATTTTATTTTAAAATAATAATTTTAAAAATGATTAAATTATGAAAATTCAAAAATTAGAGTTTGATTTTATAAATTTTAAAATTAAAAAAATAATTAAATCAAAAAATTAAGTGTTAATAGTTAATTTTATTAATTTTAAATGTAACATAGTCTTACAAAATAATTAAACTGTAAAATTTTGAGAGAAATAAAACTAATAATTTTAAACTTATCGTTAACTTAAGTATAATTAAACAATTCAAATTGAGGCTATGACCCTCCCGACTACATGTCTTTGTTATCATCATAGCTATGACTCATCTTCAATTTTTAGGTAAACAGATAAAAAAAGAAAAAGAAAGATTTTAAAATTTAATTTATTCTGAAAAGTTAAACAATTTTAAATCTTAAATATATCGATTCTGAAATTTGTTTATTTTCGGCGCATCACTTTTGATTTATGCTTTTTCATTCTTATTCTTTTCGAAATAAAAAAAAAACTTTAAATTTGGAAAATTTGTCCAAAAAGTTCTGATTTTATCCCAAAAAAAATCTAAAAATATAATTTCAAAACACCCCAAGTTCATTATGTAATGTAAAGCAAAGTAAAAAAATATTACATGATTTGAAGAACTTAAAAATGAACGATAACAATTTTTTAATAGATGAACTGAAAATAATTATATAATGAAACGTTAAACATTCGTTTTCATAAAAAATGTTCAAAAATAACTTATTCTTTTATTTTTCAAATAAGATTTTTTTTATATCTTTTTATTAAATATAAACATCTTTAATTAGTCGATCAATTAAAATATATATTTTTCATATTCACTTGTCTAATCAACTTCGTAAAAAAGAGTTTAAAAATTAAAATGGAAAAGTAAGGTCAGCTTTGCCTTTGACATTTTGAAAAGTCGAGGAAACCCGATAGGTTTTCTTTTGGTCATAATTTAATTTGTAGGCTTAACTTTTGTCATAATGTTATCTGTCTCGGACCAACTTCTAGGGTGAGGGTCCACTCCAATATTTGTTTTAGATATCTTGTTTGTTTTGTCTTTCAACGTGGCATGATTCATTTAATCAATCCGACACTATTATAATTTATTTTATAAAATTCAGTTTCATATCCAGTTTTTTAAGAATAATTAAGTCTAGTTAATTTTAAGTTTTTTTAAGAATTATATGAAAATTAAAAAGTATATTAAATTAAATTGGGTGAGAGTAAAAATAAATTTTTAATTAAATTTTTTATCAAATTCAAAATGAAAAAACATTAATTCTAAATATAAATTAAATTAAATTTTATTATGATAATATTAAATTTTAAATAACCAAGAATTTGCTCCATCCCATTACATTATCATCCCCAGAAGTGGCATTATGAGTGTGCATGCTTCAAGTTTAAATTAATAGTAATTCATACAAAAATATATAGGATAAAATACACAAATGGTCCCTCAATTATAGGATATTACTTTGTTGAATCCCTTAACTATTAAAAAGTATAAAATGATCCCGACTATAGGAAATTATTCTGTAATAGGAGAATTCAACTTTTTATAACTTTTAATAGTCGAGTTTAGAATATATGAATAGTCGAGCAATCATTTTGTAATTTTTAATAGTCGAACGACTTAACAAAACAACGTCCTATAATTGAGAGATTATTTTATAACTTTTAATAATCGGAATACTATTGGTACGTATCAACTTTTTGGTTGGCTGTCCAATCATTCAAGGCCATCGAAAAGAAAGAGAAAAATAAGTTGATTAGATATTGATTTCATTCAGGATGCGATATGTGAACAATAATGTGTATCTTGAGCTTGCAAAGCAGGACTACAGTAATTGCCAAGCTTTACATCGGATGGAATGGGACGGTATGCAAAAGTAAGCAAAAATATCCAATCCTGGTCCCTCAATTATAGTTAACTCGCAAGTGCTTCATTAGTTATGGTGTGTGTGTGAGTTGAACAGATGGTATTCAGAAACAGGCCTCGCTGAGTTTGGTGCGACTCAAAGATCTCTTCTCTTCACTTATTTCATGGCGGCTGCCACAATATTTGAGCCGGAAAGGTCCCAAGAGCGCCTCGCCTGGGCTAAGACCGCTTTCTTGGTCGACACCATCGCTTCTTCTTTCGACAAGGACCTTAGGAATTCATTCGTCCAAGTCTTTAGAACCGTGGTTGATGCACGATTTAGCCACGTTAATGGAAGGTAATTAAATTATCACATTCATTTGATTCCCTTAATAGGGTCGATAATAATTTATTCTTTGGGGGTACACTGTACAAAGTAAAATCTGTACTGAAAACACTGGTCCAATGAAAAGATCACTGTACTTTTAACGAAATCCATCAATGTAGGGGCCAGTGCGTTGGAGTGGTAGAAAGGGCTGACAAAATAAAGTGAAGTTTACACGTGATTTTTGTTGCAGGAAGTTGGACTCAAACAGTACAATACATAAGATGATAGACACCTTGCTTCGAACCCTGAATCACTTATCATTGGACGCACTTGTGGCTCATGGTCGCGACATTAGCTGCAGTATTCGCCGTGCTGTAAGTAATCATGAATTTTCGCTTTTGAGAAACGGGATTGCCACAGTAACTTTCACCCACAAAAAAGCATCTTCGCGTTATAAATTTATGTACCTTTCTTGAACAGTGGGAAAAGTGGATGCTGATGTGGGTGGAGGATGGTGATAGGCACCGAGGAGTTGCGGAGTTGGTGGTTCAGACCATAAACCTTAGCTCTGGCCGTTGGTCTTTAGAGGAACTTATGTCCCATCCTCAATACGCCCGACTCTCGAACCTCACGAATACAATTTGCCATCAGCTTTATCATTACCAAAAGCTAAAGGTCAGTCGCGTGAAACCAACATCACATTTGTCCATGTTCCTTTTTTGGCTGCTTTCGTTTACCATCTTTCATTTCATTTTTATCTGTCCAATTTCTGCCTTCCAATTGTAATTGGTGCAAACAGCTTTCAATGCTAACAAAACCCTGTGTCCATTGTTTCAGGTGCATGACAATGACTGCTACAGTAACGAAACAGAGCACGGGATGACCGAGAAAATAGATTCTGACATGCAAGAGCTGGTCCAGTTAGTACTGCAAAATTCCTCTGCCGATGATGACGCCTCCTCGGAGTTCAAGCAAACATTTCTTACGGTGGCGCGGAGTTTTTACTATGCTGCATACTGTGACTTAGAGACCATCACATTTCACATTGCTAAAGTTCTGTTTGAGAAAGTACGCTGATCATGAAATTCCTCTTTTTTGAAGGTTGATTGATCACCATTATTTCTTCAGCAAAAATCCATTTATGTGTAAACCATGCTGTAAAAAAATTATATATAACTAAATAATATGATAATTTCGAGGGCGACAGATAAATAGACAATGATAAAAAGCAACGACTCACTGCCTTCGATAAGATCCTTTGTTTGTCGAATTATTAAACAAAATATCTGGTTTGTCAAATTATTAATTAATTAAATCAACTAATAAAGTCGGTGATAAATGAAATGGCAATACCGAAAATGAAGAATTTTATGAATTGCAAAATCCAAAGAAATGAATAATTTACTTGACCAACAATATCGATGATTATAATAAAGTTTTTTTTTTTGAGAAAACGATTAATATAAGTTATTGGTATAATACTAAATGGTTTGAGTTATTCTTCTTAAAGTCTTGGATTCAAGCAATTGTGTTTGTGATGTATATATGTTGTTAATAAATTATGCAAGTTATCAACGTGTTTGTGGGTACATGTAGTTGAACCACAAATAAAGTGTTTCACTTCCTTTGAGCTTTTGTTTTTTTACAAAATGCCTCGCTCCTAAAGTATACCAAAGATGGCAGACAGCATCAGATTTGAAACAAACGATAAGGTTTGGTGCTCCTTTCTAACATCCAAAAAGTCTTTGATGTTTCGAATTGGAATTAGTAAATCCCCCCTTCCACCTTTCACTTATTGCTAACAATCATCTCAATCCATACAAGTTAATGGTACTACATTTACTTTGTCTCCAGCTCTTATGTGTAGACTTGTCACTCAGTTGTGTTCACTGTATCAATGCTTAGAGCTATCACTTAATTCGGTTGATTTCCGAATCTGAGCAACCATAAAGCATAAAATGATTGTAAACTCCATTCTATTGGCATGAAATTTATCGACGAGAATTAGCTTGTTTATGTTATTATTGACAATTTATTTCTTCTCATTTGAATGAAGAGTCGTGATTAGTGAGGAAATAAAGTTAATAAGTGTTTTTGTATTATAGAGGGACAACCATGAAGAGGAGTAGAAGGAGAAGGAGAAAGGTGGTTGCTACAGGTGCAAGTCCCTATTCCAATCATGTTGAGGGGTATTTATAGTGATCTTTAATATATGTGTCGACCATAAAATTATCATGGATATTAGTAGACTGATAAACTAGGCATATTTAAAAGTCAGACTTTGGATTTCATTTGGGTGAATCTATAAGAGATTTTGTCTATGTAATATAATAGACTAACAGGGCCGTGGCTGAGGCGGCGCAAACTGCGCGATTGCGCAGGGCCCCTAAAAAATGAGCCCCAAAAAGTATATATATAATGGCGTTTTTCCAATAAACGCCACTAGATGGACCGATTATGACGTTTTTAAAAAAAACGTTACTATTATTGTGGCTTTATTTATAAAAGCATTATAAATGAATCTATCGCGGCGTTTGTCAAAAAAAATGCCACTATTATTATCCCGAAATCGAATATATCTAAAAAATACCCTTTATAAGAATTTGTACAGGGCCTCCGAAAACCCAACCACGGCCATGTAGACTAATGGGATATTAGTCATTTTCAATACATTCTACTTGACAGAGATTGGTAACTTCCGGAATTATGTCTCTCGAGGCATAACAAAATTAATGTAAATTATGGTGTCACTTAGGAGAGGAAAAGTTAAAATCTTAGTGGATTAAGGTGTTAAAGAAGATAAGTAACTATTTTACCTTTATCTTTGGTGCGTTATACAAGAGGCATTTTGGATGTAGACTAGTATCAGATTGGGCCGCATTTTCTAATACTAAGATGAAAATAATAATAATAAACTTGTGGGGCTGAGAGTTAAAGCAGGACCACAGGAAATTAATAATCAAAGGGAGATTGCAAACCCCACAGCAGAATCAAATAATTTGTACGGAGAAGAGAAGGTTGAATTGACAATGGGGTAAGCTCTCAAATGGAAGGCATCCACATCCTCTGACGGGTTTCATGTATTTATTTCACTGTTTGGCATTTTCTGGGGTCATGGAAAAAGAGAAGGGTTGAAGTTGAAATGATTCGTGCATGCCCATGCCGGGCAGGATTTTCATTTACCAAAGAATGGATGGCACGAAAGCAAAGAATCCACAGAAAAAAAGAAGCAGAAAGAAGTGTAAGTTGAACCCTGGTTTGGAAGAAAGCCCATTTCAGTAATCATCAAAGCAATGTGATATAGCTGGCTTCGGTGACCACTTCAGTTTGTTTTAATTCTTTTTTTGAATCAGACGAGGGCAAGTGAGCACCCTGATCTTGCATGTTCCTTTGCTGTCCAAGCGGCCAACATGCAGATGAAGCCCCGGACCCATCTCGTCCCACACAACATTAAAACTAATGCCCATGTTATTCCTGGGACCAAACTCCATCGTTGCCCTTATTTAGACCACACACACACATAGAGAAAAAAAAACTACGTTATTTGGATAATCAATAGGTCAGCCTATATAACTTTTGGTCCTGTCAACTTTTTTTTATGTTTTGCCAACGATACCAATCTTTACTAGAACAACCAAACAACTTTTCTGCTTCGAAAGCTATATCGATGCACTCGATGGATATGCATTGGACTTTTTGGGGCTCATGAAAATAGTGTTGAATGCTTTCATGGTGGTGCCTGTGCGCATGTAACCCCACCATACTGTGAGACTCCACACGTTGGATAACCTAATCTTCAAATTGGCGTTTAAAGGGAACTCTAAGAATAGATATAATCACAGTTGCAGCTGTTGATATGCTAACTTAAAGGGGAGCTCTCAGAATCTAATCTAAACTTTTTTTAACATGCAATGCAGGGTATATAACAGATCAGCAGGCGGTTTTAATCATGAAAAATCTGTAAATATAAAGCATATTAAAGATAAGTAACAGAAACACAACATGAATATATAAAAGCTCCAGAATTTGTATGCAACAAGAATTAATATTTTAAACAGAGTTATGAGTTGTGGAAAAAGTAAAGCAATAACGGGATCGGAAGAGTTGCAAGAATATGCATGAACAAGTTTCTGAAGCATCAACATCAACAATAGTCGGGAGAAATTCCGTAGATGGCGGATCTAATCATACTCCAATTCATCAGGTGTAAGCAGGCCGTGTTAGGGGGAAGATTGACTTCTTTTCAACATCTATAGGTAATGCTTTCCTCTTATATAAAACAAAATATGAAATGAAAATGTAAAGTGCAGTGTACGTGGACCAAAAAAATGGAAAAAAAGAAGAAGGAAATGGCTAGTTGGACATCAAAATCCACTAACTTAACCCATCTTCTTCTCTAGAATAATAGCCTAGTACTCGTTTCTATAAACTCACTAATCACATAACTTCTTCATGATGATGACTAGATAGGTTTGAATTAAAGAATTCATTTAATTGATCAAAATGAATGAAAACAGAATAAGAAAATATTAGGTGGCTTGGTTTTAGAATTTTTTTTTGTTTTTTATTTTTATTTTTAGAAAATAATTTTTATTTTTTAGTTTTTCTAAAAATCATAAAACATGTTTCGTTAATATAAATGAAAAATTGAATTTAGGCAGACTTGAACTTGTCAGAGCTGTCCTGTTCAGTGTTGCTAACTACTGGTGCAGGCAGTTAATTCTGCCACAGTCTATTATTAACAGGATTGAGCAATTTTGCTCTCTATTTTTCTGGAAATGTACTGATAAGGCCGCCACTGGAGCTAGAGTTAGCCGGGAGAAGATTTGCCAACCGAAATCTAAAGGAGGGCTCGGATTAAAGGATATTAAATCATGGAATAAAGTGTGTATGATGCAGCTCATTAGAAACATCCTTGCGGGAGAGGGTTCTTTGTGGGTTGCTTGGATCAAAAGTTATGTGATTAAGGATAATAACTTTTGGCTCATGGAAGAAGGAACAAATTCAAGCTGGTGCATCAGGAGACTATTTAAACTAAGGGCAGTGGCTCTTCCAGTTTTATCTTCATGAACAAAGAAGATAAAAGAAATTTGGGAAGAGTTACGGGTAAAGGGAGACAAAGTTCCTTGGCACAAATTGATATGGTTTCCCCTCCACATTCCTAAACTTAGCATGATTTCTTGGATGGCACTTTTGGATAGACTCCCAACTCGGGAGAGGCTTCAACGTATGGGAATCGTTACTAATGGATTATGCGTAATCTGCAATGAAGTTCTAGAAACTAGGGACCATCTATTCGTTGAATGCTCTTTGGTTGTTTCCTTATGGAAGGCTATTCTGAATCTCACCGGCTTGAGCAGACCACCTTTGTCATGGGTTAACATGTTAGCTTGGGTTTGTGGTGCTTGGAAAGGTAAGTCTCTCTTAACTACTATCTTGAAACTTGCTTGGTGTGCACTTATTTATTGCCTGTGGGAGGAAAGAAATTGAAGATTGTTTCGAGGAAGTTCAAGAAATGTTGATGAGATCCTGAATTCCATTAAGGAGATTGTAAGTATTCAATTAAGAGGAAGGAATATAAATAGATTAGATAGTGTTAATATTAATTTTTGTAATCATTGGGGTATAGATTGACCATTTTTGTTGTAAGTAGGTTTTCCTTTTGTTCCTTGGATGGGATTGATTTTGTAGCAGAACTCTGGCTCTTTGGGTAATAAAATTAAATTATTTAAAAAAACTTGAATTTAGAAATAAAAATAGTGAAAATATATTTGGTATCTATTTTTTTAAAATAGAGATGAATAAATAGTTATTAAATAATTAAATTAAAATATAACTATTAAAAAATTTCATTACATAATTTAACATATGAATTAAGAAAATATATTTGGTATCCAATTTTGATTACATAAAATGTTACAGGGAACCTAAACCACGATAACAAAACCATTAATACTGGTACAATCATATGTAGTTGTACTGTGAATTCACCCTAGTTGAGTTTTGCTAAAATATAAGAACTAGAGATGATTTACAAACACATGGAATAGTTTTATGTATGCATCTGCATGCATGCGTACACACATACTTATACAGGCTAAAGCCTAAGACTTCAGAATGAGGATGGTTACATGCTGAAATTTGGACTTTCAATGACAAAGAAAAATTGTGTTTGAAAAACAGAGGGGAAAAAGCTTAGTAACAGTAAGAAGATATATCTGAATTGCAGCCCATGTGGTCCGATATGAAGGGAAAACAAGAATAATATAAAATGTCCAAAATGGATGGTTTGCAACTAATACCTTTTAATACATCTTTATGGCATGTGTATTAGAAGCCTTCACAAAAAGATAAAACAAACTATGACTTGTCACTGCAAAAAGAAGCTTCCTGTTGTTAGCAGAGGAAAGAACAAGAACACTGATACCAAAAATATAGAACAGAATGCAAGAGGGAAAGGTTATTACTTGGCTGTACACACATTACTTGATCACGACGATGGATTCTAAAAAAGATTTAAGAAACACATATTAAGAATCTAACACCTTGGAAATATATTAATCTTTTAATCAGCTCGTACAACAGTAATAGCAAACTCAATACTTTGACAATCTCTGAATTTATTAATTTTCTACTATTCAATTCTACTGATAACCTTAACTTTTCATAAATGAAGTAACCATTATAAAACGCATCATAAAGACCATGAATGCATTATAAAAATGCATTAAAGGATGCCATCGAAACTAAAGCCTATAAACATGTAATAACATGCATTAAAAGGCGTTAAAGTCGCACGATTACACATATATAAAATGTATTATCTAAACAGACATTAGTTTAGACACCCCAAGGGCTCCACTCTAATATGGCACAAGTTGCACGTCCTTACTCTTTGTTCATTGTCGAAGAAAACAATAGACAAGTTCCGCATGAAAACTCCGGATTCCTAATAAGTACAGTTCTAAATTCTATTTGTTGAAAACCAAATCTCAAATGATTCTTGAAAATATTGTAACAAAGGGGAAAAAATAATGAAAAAAATACTATATACAAATCATTTGAAAGCAAAGAAAACAGTAAAAGACCTTAAATATGTACTTCAACTAAAATGAGAAAGTGGTATATTACCATTATTGGATGAGCAGATTATGCACAATATAAGATATATTTGTGATTGTGTAAATCATAACTCAATAGTTGGGTTGGCTCAATGGTTGGGGCGTACATTCTTCTTCCTAGTTCTAAAGTTTGAATCACGTCATCTCGTAATGATGATTTTTGTCACTGTATGATTAAATGATTAAATTTATTAATGATTTAAAATTAAGATCAAATTGATAAATATATAAGTATTGATAATCAAATATGTAATTATATAATTTTATTAATTGTCACGCTAATATTTCTGTTAATAGTTAATAGAAGGTGATTTAATTGTTATCGTTTAAATAATTGAATGATTTGATAAAATTAAAATATCGATAGTCAAAATTAAAAAAGACAATATAATTTACTCTTATTTCTATTCGCTTAAAATTTCTTTTAATAATTTTTTAAATTCTAATACCACAAATTATTTTTTTCCTGTTTGCGTCTCTTGTATCAACCGTTGAATCAACAATTTTTAAAGGTGGGAAAGTAACAGTTAAATATGTGATTAGTTTGATTCACCGGTTGATGAATCAATTGATTAAATTAGATGAGATTATGGTTGAAAGAAAAAAACGTAGATAAGCATGAATTAAGTGACTTCGATTGTAAAAGAATTGTTGTTAATCTCCTTGAGGTCTTGGGTTCGAGCGCCATGAATATCAGGGTATGAGCATTCAATGTCAAATGATTGAGAATAATCTTTAGATATTATCTTGTACTTACCCTAAATTAATAAAAAAACTCATATAACTGAAATTGACATTCTTTAATTTAGTACATAAAATATAGACTTAAGGGTCAGGTTTGCTTTTGTAGTAGACATAATTTATCATTTTTTGCCCCTATCGTATTTTCACACCAATTTAACCCTCAAAGTTATTTAATTGCATCATTCTATACCTTACCCCTAACTTAAAATTCTAAATTGATAATCTTAAACGCTAAATAACTCCATAACCTCTAAACCCTAATCTCTAACTTAAAGCCTTAATTTAGGGTTTTAAGTGAATGTTAAGATATATAATGATGTAATTGAGAAACTTTAAGGGTTAAATTGATACGAAAATACGATATAAACAAAAATGATAAATTGATTATATTATTGAGGCAAAAGTTACACTTTTACCTAAAATATGTATATGTACTCGTCATGGATTTTTTACATTATAAAGATATATAAGTTTATTTATCATTATTGGTGAAGGTGAAAATAGTTTGGAATGAGGAGAAAAAACAAATACTTTTTAAAAAATAACATTTTAATTATACTCCAAGCATTAACTTAAGTATTAATCATTTTTATTAATATATTACATAATTAATATACTAAAAAATTATGATGTAATGACGATTTGTTATAAACTAATAATATTAGTAATATAATATTTATGTTCAAATTTCAGAAACGAAAATATAAATTTATTAAAATATCAATGATCTTTAGTTTATTCATTTTCTTTTCGGGACAAGTAAAAGGACCCATTGACCACTTGAACAGGATCTGTTCTATAGGCTCGTACCTCTGTATCCTATCCTTGAGTTCTAAGGAGACAGGATTCCATGTCTGGTTGATGAACCGAGTCTGTGTAATCAGAGCGTGATTATTAGCCTGGCTTCTTCTTCAGGGGTTGCTTTGGCTGTAGAGGATCATTCTCAGTCAGCTCATTTCGACTGGGATGGTTACACAGTTGTTTGACAGACTTCACAAATATATTTTGTTCTTTTTTACCCTGAAAATAACTGCTGATGAGGCTGAAAACTCAAACGCAAGACAGAATATCATAATTACAAAAGATTCCAACCCTTTAAGCATTAATAAAAACGGTGAGATTTGTATACATTCTTCATGTTTATGTTATAAATTAATAGTATAAGTTTAATTATTTGTATAAATCAAACTATTTAAACGATTAAAAAAATTATTGTTATTCTTTAAAATATTAGGCTTAAACACCGCGTATGTAAATATATAAACATTCATTATCAAAGGTTTAAAAGTTTTTAGACTGATACTAACTTATATTTATTTCAGGTTTATAAAAAAATTATAATTATAAACGTTGTGATTAAACTGTTAAAAAAGTTAATATAATAATTCAATAAAAAATTATAGATGTTTTTTCTGACATTACACTTTTTGTCTTAAAAAAACCTAAAAAGAAATTATTTCTCAGCATTTGATAAGCAAATACGAAAACTCCCATCAGCACAGCAACCAAGCAAAGGAAATGAACAAATTATATCAAATAGAATTATAGACAAAAATGTTATCAAACCAAAAAATAAAACAGAATACAGCCCGAGTCTAAATCAGTGCATTCCATAATCAATTTTTAAACATATAGGTGATGTTTGTTTTTACAGAGGAAAAATGTATGCAGTCTGCGAACTACATCTGCAGCAGAAGAGGTGGATCAAAAGTCTGCAGTCTGCAAAAAGAATACTGTTTGTTTTTTAACGTCTGCAGACTGCTAAAATAAACTGAAATATAAATAAACTGATTTTTTAAACTTAAAAGAGTTTTGTAATACTAAGATTTAAATAATTTTAATTTTACAATACTGAAATTTAAATAATTCATACAACTACAATAATAAATTTTTTAGAAAAACAAACACCACCTTATTAATTCTATTATAAGTCTCACATAATCACATGTATTATTAGTTTTATAAGTTTTATAGAATAAAATTTATAAATGATTATTAAATTACATGATTTTTTCAAAATAAGCAATTATGTAATACTTTTAATTTTTTTTAAATATATATATTCATAATTTATTTTTATAATTATATGATATTTTTAAAAAATGTTTTTTAATTTATAAAATTATTTTATGATTATTTTTTATTTAATTGTAATTATATTTTAAAATTTTAAAAACATAATTTATAATTTTTTATATTTTAAAATCTTAATTATCAAACAATGAAATCATTTTTTATTAAGCAATGTGGTTTAAATACTTACATTTTGAATAAAAAATTTAAATATAATTTAAAAATAACAAATCCAAAAATATATTATATTTAAACTTAAATCAAAATAATTAAAATAAATATAAAATTTTAATAATATAAAAAAATAATTTATATGATATAAAATTAAATATCTATAATATAATATTAAAAAATTAATATTTAATTTATTTAAAAATTTAGTATTAAAATTAATATCTATAATATACTATTAAAAAATTAATATTTAATTTATTTAAAAAATTAATATTAAAATTAAAATCAAATATAATATAATATAAAATTAAATATAAAACCTCTTTAAAGATGTTAGAAGACGTCTGCAGACATAAGGTCACGTCTGCGCCGCGCAGACCACGCGCAGACGTTAGAAGAACTTCTGTCTTCTAAAAAATAAACGGTCTGCGAAACACAATATCTGCGCGTGGTCTGCGCAACACAGACATAATAACTTTGCAGACCTTATACAGTAAAAACAAACACTACTATAGTAACTCAAGAAATCTTGAGGTGGCGGTAACGATACAGAGGAGGCTACCCTACCTTATTATGAAATTTCTATTAATTCATAGGATGTTAACAAAAGAATTGTTAGTCAAAATAAGAAAAACAAGAATAAAGGTACATTCCATAAAAAATAATTAATTGAAGTAAAGAAGAAAGAATTAGTAAAATTTTTAAGAGGTCTGTGACTGTAACAATTAAGTAGTTAGGACCAAAATAACATCAATCGAAGCCTTTTATGATTCTATTTAAGGTTGGTTCCAAACAATACATAAACAATTATTTCTCTTCTATCAATAACAATTATATGAAACAAAATGGCAGAGTACCTCTGAGCCATGATAAAGACACGTATAGTGGTACATCCACAACTCACAGACCTTTTAAAACCCCACGTAAATCACCACGTGTCAGCAAATCCAGCCCTATGTTCAATCCATCAATTCCAAAAAGAAAAAATCACCAACGCTACTCCACCCTTCTTTTCTCTTCTCTCTCTTACATCCACTGCCACCCGCTATGGATACCCTCCTCCACCCTTCACCAACAACAAGCTCCATGGCCAAACGCCCTTGCCAATCCTCCTGTGAAAACCCTAACCTCCCTTCTCGCTTCACTCAGATGGACCATCTCCTCCTCTCTTTCCTCTCTCTCGCCGATTCCTCCCCTCCTGTTTCCCTCGACCTTTCCTTCGACCGCCTCCTCGATTCCACTCCTTCCGACGCCGATCAAGCTCTTCTCATCGATCTCGCTCACAGTATTGGTTCCCTCCTCCTCCGTGCCGCTAATCGCTCCGCTCGTAAACGTGCTTCCCTTCATAACTCCATCGCCTGGGCCCTCCCTCCTGATCTGACCATCAAGGTAAATACCTCCATTCTTCCACATTTTCATCAAGGCCTTTGATTTTGTTTTTAAATCTTGTTTTGATGATGACGTGTTTTTTTTAATTTTATTGCAGGTGTTTTCTATGTTAGATTCGCAGAGTCTTTGCTACGCCGCGGCAACGTGTTGGATGTTTAACAAGTGTGCTATGGATCCATTGTGCTACGAGAATATTGACCTTACCACTGTCGTTCCCAAGGTTAATAATGCCGTTGTCTCCACCATGATCCAACGAGCTGGGAAATCGTTCCGGTAAGATTTCCTTTCATTTTTCGCTATTACAATTTGCCTTTCTTTTTAACTAATAAATACATTATCTTAAGCCGATACTTAAGTTTCCTTTTGCATTTTAAAAGTATTATTACCGCTTATCGATCTCTTAAGTCTTGGAAAACTTCATTAATTAGTAACTCAGAAGGTGTTTTTGCCGTTTCCTTTATGTTTTATCTATTAGAGAAAAGGATTAGTATGGGTTAGTATCAGCTAGTTCATTTATTTGCATGTGGTTGTTTATGTTGTTATGTTTTCTTGTTAATTACGATGTTTTGAATGGTTGTTTAGATCGCTTAAGCTTGGAATAGTACCAGGCCCAACTTCCTCACCGGGTTCCTGTCAACCATTGGTTTATACCATCCAGAATTCTGTAGATGTATCTAGCTTTTCATGGAATGAAAAAAAGACCAGGCAAGGGAAGGAATCATCTATTCTTACAAGGACCTGCTTATACCCATTAAGTGGGGACAATGGCACCGCTGGGTATGGTTGAATACATTGACTCCTTGTTTAGAATGTGGTTTATGTGATAAGTTGTTCTTTTTGTTCTTATCATTTGCTATTTTCATATTGTAAGGGCTCTTTTGTGGAGGTTGCATCTTTACAATATTGAAAGAATGGACAATACATCACTCTGTGTGGCATTAGCTGCCTGCCCTTCTTTACTTGATTTGGAAATTGTCGGCCTGTAAGTTTCGCTATCTAAGTTGGTTTTTACATTTATTGACCCCACCAATTTGCCCTTTCCTTTCTTTTCTGTTGGTTTGAGCATGCGTTAAGCTGTTGCAGCTGGATGATATAACAAGCGGTAGAAGCTTATAACTTAAAAGTTGTTTCTAAATATGAAAAAATTTGGAATGATTGATCAAAGAACAACGCTCACAAAAGATCCGTTTTCTACGTGCACTAACTTAAATTAATATACTAATATTAATAAATATCCAAATGAATGAATACTGAATAAAACATTCTATATTAATTAAAAAAGCAATTATTGTCTGATCATCGAGTTTTGTTAGTTTTAACACAATTTGGTTTGCAGTTGTTTGTGGTACTCAGACAATGTGGTTTTAGCAGAGTAGCTAATTCTTTTTTTGTTTAACCTTAAAATTGTTCAATCAACCTTCGATTGATGCAGTCATGTCGAGTTGAGGCAAACTTTGATGTCAGTGAGCTCCAATTGTCACTTGATAGAGCGTTTATTCTTTGAGTCTTCCAAAACAGGTACAGATTCTCTTCTTGAGTGTCTCTTTTAACTGCTCTTTACATATCTGCTCATATGATAATGCAGGGAGGGATGACAGCTTGAAGTCGCAAACTTGTGTGGATGTCGTGAACAATTGTCCTAATCTTTCTTCTTTATCGCTGAGAGGTTTTAAACTGCATGATTATAAAGTCCGTATTCTTGTTAAGGTATGAACTTGTTTGGTGTTAAGTTCTGGTTGACATATAATCTCAATGGTCTGAAAGTATTAGGAAGGATGGGGTTGCATAAATATCTTAAGTTCTGTTTGAGGCGGTGTTGTATGCCTGGAAGAGTTGAGATACTATTATATTATGTTGCAATGAGCAGCTGTCTTAAATATTTGTTATAAATTTGATCTGAATGAAAATTGAGAAGTTTAGTCCTTCATTTTACTTGCAATTAGCAGTGGTCTGTAAATATCTGTTATAAATTTGACCTGAATGTAAATTGAGAAGTTTAGTCCTTCATATTACTTGCAGGGATTCCGTAAACTTAAATATGCCGATTTTTCGACATCTTACTCGATCACTGGAACATTTTTGAGGTCTGTGCTGCTCTTTTCAACCATAACTAGGAGAATCCCTTTAAATGTTTTTTTTCAACTTATATTTTGTGCAGAATGAGATTTTTCCCTGCTTGTAATCAGGAATTTGGGAAGTGGAAGTGGTGGGAATCTACTAGAGGTTTTAATTTTAAGGGACTGCATGCATCTCAAAGAGGTGAGGTCTGAATCCAACCCCCAATCTATTCCCCTCTAGCAAAACTTCCCCTCTGTATCTGTCTCTCTTTCTCCAGTCTGACTTCTGGTGCAGGTGGAAGTTTCTAGGTTCTTGACCGCAATTATTGCAGGAGATTTTAAATTCCTTCAATATCTTGTGAGTGAAATTGACAAGTGATTATCATTCTCATAATCCATGTGTATGCTAAATCTGCTTTTGACCCCGATTACTTCCATCACCTAGGACATATCTAATAGGGAAGGTTTAGCTTCAGAAGGTGATTGGTATCAGAGATCTTACAACCCAAGGTAACTAAATTATTGAGACTGTTAAACTGCCGAGTGCTGATATTACTTTATGTTTTGGGTTAAATATATATTTGGCTCCAAAAGTCGTCCACTTTTCTCACTTTGGTACTTGAAGAGATCTTTTATCAGTTTTTCCTTGAAGTTGCAAAAAGTTGTTACTCTTATTTCTTGCTACCCGTTATGATGACGTGTCCCAATAAGAAAGCAACACGTTGTAAAAACATTTATTATGTTAAAAAAACAAAAAAATATGTAAATAAATTCTCTTTTGAAAAATAAAATTTTTTATAAAAAAATCAATTTATATGCATTTTTTTGTGATTTTATAATTAAAAAATATAAAATTACAAAAAGTATACAAATTTTGATATTTTTCGTATTTTTGACATTTTCCTGAATCTCTCATTTTTTACAAAACTACGCCACGTGGCACTTTCTGGTATAAAGGTTCTTTGAGGGGCAAAGTGATGACTTTTTGCAACTTCAGGGGACAAACTGATAAAAAGGTTCTTTGAGTGAGAAAGTGGACAACTACTGGGGTAATATATGCATTTAACCCGTATGTTTTACTAATTTCTTGCCTTGTGTAATCTGCAGCATTATTCCTTTAAAGCAGGTTTTGGAAGTAAGACCAAATATTTGTTTGCTGGCCGAGTTTACATCAGAAGGATGGTATGGTCTTCCTTGAACGAATTTAGTGGTTGTCTTCTTTGTTCTAAAATAAATATTTTAATATAACAATTAGAAAGGTTCTGGGAAATGAAATTTGCATTTTGACTTGAGTTCCTTGTCATTGCAGCTTCATCGACATAGAACACATGTTTGATAGCGATGTTAACAGTGAGGTCAGTCTGCCATCCCAGCTGAGTAGTCATACATCTGATGGTTCATTGCTTATGAGTTCATCAGAGAGCAGCTACAATAGTGATCGGGGTAGCGGTAATGAGGAGTATCAAGATTCAGGTTTTGTAATTTTCGAGGAAAGCTCAGACGAGGTTGATTTTCTGGTTGTCTAGAAGAACTGTCTGGCTAATCGACATGCTGTCACTAAATAACTGGTATTGGTGATCTCCTCCTTTAGATTTTGAAAATGATCAACCGGCAAGGTTATAGCTTGTTAGTTTTGCCAAATACTTCATATTTCTTTCTTACTACTGAGAAGAGTATGAAGCTTTCATATTCATGAACCCAGAAAAGGTTATACTCTGAAATGGTAGAGATGGCAATGGGACAGACTTTTGCCTGCCCGACCCCGACCCAACGTAGTGGAAGCATAACCTGACCCCCAAAATAATTGGTATACCCAACACTGATCCACCCCTGAAATTAAAATAATCACACTGTTCCGCCCTGAAACCTGATTTCAAAGAAGAATCCTATTGGATCGGGTCAGAATCCGTTGTTTCGGATTTTGTTTTGCCATCTCTAGAAGTGGTCATGCTTGGCACATTCACTCTTTATCTCGAAACATGGTGCTCGAGAGTCATTTTAATTTTTGGCTGGAAACAAGTGGTCTGTCTAACTGGAAACTGCTAAATGTTGCCTTTGATTCTGTCTGAATATCTGTGATTTAAAGAATGTAATAACGTTGATATGGGAAATAGTGTTCTCTGCAAGTCCAATGATTTTTTCTTCCTTCTAACAAGGTGTGAATTTTTTGAATTCCCACAAATAACAGGAGAGGTGGAGGAATTGATGCTGGTGCGATATCCAAAGGTCAGATTGCTATGTTGGGAGGGTGCCTCTTTCATATGCTTCTCCGAGATTGTTATCATCATAAAAGAAAAAGTCTTAAGGAGACGTATTGTTTACCCCTGTTTCTATCTGCTGCTACTTTTACAGCAGCCATAACATAGTAATGATGAATGCGGGCAAGGGCAGTCCACGCTCAAGCTCAGCTCTTGATGTTTTGTTTTTGTATTCAATATGGCCTTGGGTTTAAATCTTCGTTTTGCCAATTGCCGATAGGAACTTGTAGCTGCCAAGCGAAATTGATTCGATTATTCTTGCGATTCTCACTGCAGGCTCAACCAATCATTTTTATTTTTGGTAAGCCTACTTATTTACTTCTTGTCAGGGCCTCCGCAATTACCGTTATCCATGCCCCTGGTTTATGAGCTTTCTCTTTATGTTAGATAAACATGATTTTATTAACTATAGCTCTTTTAAAGCGTTTATTATTTTGAATGGTTTTTTCACAACAATATCAAACCTACTAATATTGCGGAACTAAATGATTCCCAAATTTGTTAAACAAATCAATTTTAAAAATTAGTAATGACGATGTCTGATGTTAAATTAACATTTTCATTCAAGAAGCCATGAATAGAACATGTACGTTCCACATACAAATAGAGAATCTGCAAAATTATCGATTCTTCATCATTCCAAATGTATCGTCAACACTATTCATCACTCTCTAGCCGCTCAGCTATCATTTCCATATAAGCCTGACATGAAAATAAAGGTTGATAAAGCTCTAGTGGATGTGTACAATTCTTCTGGTTTCTCCGTGACAAACCATAAAAGTTATAACAAACAGAAATTACAAGTAACTATCTCTGTTGGGAAAGAACCCGTGACAGACTAGCTTGATAAAGCTCCTAGCAAAGTCCAGGTGACCCATAAGCATTTTCGGATAAAAACAATTAAAAACTCCATTTTTTTAGTCAGTAGATATTGTCTTACACATCGTGAGTCAAACAAGCTTTATATCTGCAGGTTTGATTTCAAAAGATGGTTTATTCTAGTTCAGCTGCAAGGAAATCCATTAATAAAGGCAACTAAACTGGAAAGACAGTTTGTCAATAACTTCCCATGCTATCCAATTATCTTCAAAAGTAGATGATCATGGTATGACAAAGAAAGAAAAAGTGAAAAAACACTAATTCCAAGTAGAATCAAGACTGTGTAGCTTGGGATAAGAACAGAGAAATATGTACCACCATGTGCTTATCCCCAATGTGGCAAAAGCTGTGACAGCGACCGAGTGCAAAATTAGCCAGCTAACGGCGATCACCATCAATCCAGTAAGGCTAATCATCTACGGTTGACACCCACCGACCGAATGGATACGAAGGGTCAGACCAAAACAAGGACAGATGCATAAACAATGTTGAGACATAAGCCAATGATAAGAAACATAAACGACCATCTTCTTTTTAGGAACAATAGACAGCTAGAATGGTGGTAGCACAAAGAACAACCAGTAAAAACCCAAATCATAAAACGGAAAAAAAATGACAATTAAAACAAGTTATACTGAGAAAGCCGACCAGGAAGGCTTTTTATCCCAAACTGATTCTACTCGAGAGATAGGTTGTTAAGATAGCTGATAGCCATCCATGTCTTCGACGACACCGTTTTCGTCCAAGAGTATATATTCTTTCCGTTTGGGGTCGGTTGGATTCCCGGTGAAAGCCACAGTTTTTTATCGAAGCTTTGAAGTGGAAGCAGCAAAGAAAAATGGGTTATTAAAGTTGTTTCGGGGCAAAGTTATTGAGAGGTTTTGGGGAAACAGAGAGTGAGCGGGAACAGAGAAGAAGAGTTCCCCATGTTTATTGGATGCCACTGAAATTCCTTTCGCCTAGGACAGATTTTTATTGGTCTTAAAAAACGATGTCGTTTGGATGGTCTCCAAATTTTTTGTTTAATAATATTTTTTCTTTAAAATTTTAAAATTAAACAACTTAACATATTATATTATCTAATTCTTCGTCTCTAAAGTAGATGGTACATGAGGGTCATAAAACGTTCTACTTAAGAAGATAACCCGATATTAGGAATTAGACTAACCCTTTTAGTGATGGAAACAAGCCACAATTAATTTCTGAAAGAAGCTTTAAGTACATATTGATTCATATGCACACAAAAGGCAGCCATGAATATACTGGAACAAAGTTTATGTTGGTGAGGATCAAAGAGCAGGGTTTCTAGCCTGAAATATGAAAAAGGATGAATATTTCATGCCAGACTTGATGCATTGAAACAGCTATTTGCAGATCAGTCTGCAGCTATTGTCTCTAAAGATGCTTCAACTTCATTTGTTATAAGATTTAAAACTCCATTCACACTCACTATTCAGAATAAATCTTTATCTTCCTACATCCCATTCATTAGCTTCCTCACTATTCAGGAAAATATAGCACACCTGTTTCATGCCTCTCATTAATGTACAGCATGACAATATCCGATTTGCATCGATCACGAATGCCACAGCCTTCATTTCGAGGATTCCTACGTCTTCAAATGCTTCTTGCAAACATCATTGTCTGAGCAGTGCAAGCAGGATCTTACTGATTGCTAACAGATCCTGCAATCTATTAGTCTATATAACAATTCTCCCAAGACTGGTTAATGTGTCGAAAGCATCAGGAGCAACTGGTTTATGCTATTAACATGAAATAGCCAGAACACTGAGACTGGCAGAAAACAAATGAACATGTATTTCAATCATACAGCAGAAAGTATTTCCTAAATCTGGGAAAAAGAATACACTTCTATTCATGCTTCCAAGCATATAACATTAATGAAAAACTGAGACCCTGCACTTGGTGATCTCTAAGCTTTTGAGAGCAAGACCATGTCAATACAGATGGATCAAATGCAGATTTCTCCGCACAGACGCAAGTTTGAAACATGAAAACGGCATTGTTCGTAGCATTGCGGAATAACCAATTGTGCACGTCCCAGAACACTTGTACAGGAAGTCCATCGACCAAAATGGTCTGATTGCCACGGAACTTCCACTTGAGCTTCTTGACCTGCATCACCATTTTACTATCGATGCGGATAACAAGGTACGGATCCTTAAGATCGACGGTGTTGCACTCGATCACGACATCGTGAATCAGCCCCTTGTCCCAAAATTGAGCCTTGGCTCCATAAAACTTCTTCCCAAAAATATGCTCTCTCTTGGCAACCAAAACGGCATCGGAGTCGAGAGGAGTTCTAATGTCAACCTTCTTGTGTGCTTCTTTTTTCAAATCCCCAAGGAGCAACACCAATTCCTGGTCAAATGCAATAGCAAGGTAATATCCTTCAACTGGTTCTGGTCCAGAACCAAATCTGGCATTAGACAAATCCCAACATATATCAACTTTCCCAGAATATACATGTAAATTCTTCGATCCTTTTCTCTTGGAGAACAACCAGGGCTTTATGTCAACCTTACACAAACACTGATTGGCTGAATCATCGATTGAAACACCAAGGCCTTGACCCATCAGATTCTTGTTCCATGTAACCGTGATTAAGCAAGAATGACCTTGAAGTTTACACTGATAAACACAAGTCACCAAGTTTTGAGCAGCTTTAGGTGCAGTCGAAGACGATGAACCGGCTACTTGAACACCGTTTTCTCCAAAACAAGAAGGAAAGTCCCTCATTATAATAACCATAAAGGGCAACTTGTTTCCCCTCTCTTTTATTAATCCTCTCAATCAAAACCAAAAACACACACGAAATAATCGTACCTTGGATGCTTTATTGAGGATGAACTGAAGAACCCATTTCCAGAAAAGCTTGAAAACTGGGTTCCTCGATGCTCCAGTGTGACATGGGTGTCGGGTTTCTTACAAGTTACAACTTTAAAGGTTGTAAACAAATGAGATAGATAGAAAAGGTTTTAGATTTGCTTACCCAAAATAAAAACCTGAAGGAGACGTAAGAAAAACAGAGGAAAAGGAGGAGAATAAATTAAAAAGGAAAATGAAAATGGCAACTGGGTATTCGCTGGAAAAGGGGTGGGTGGTTATATATACAACGTTACATAAATGTAAAGCTATAAAAAAAACTATTTTCTCTCTCTTATCCTCTTTATTCATCTCTGAGTCCAAATACTGATTATACTATTTTCTTCGCTTAAATACGATGGATGCTTTGATTATTAAAAAAAAAATTACTTGAGTGGTCCTAGGATACCTCAAGAGAAGGAAAAACAATCCAAAATTTAGAGCCCAAAATGCCAAACATATTTGAAACAAAAATGTACATCACCAATTGACTTTATAGTTTGTACACCTATTCTCTGTCAGATCTCACATAAGAATGAGAACTATTTATACAGTTGGATAACATTTTAAAAGAAAAGAGATACTCATATCGTTCCTTTTTAAAAATACTACTAATAATAAATAAAGTAAGATATGTAGTAATGTTTTTGTGCATTCAATGAGAATGGGTAAGCATCATAGCTTTCGGTTATGAGACGTATGCAATGAGCTTTTTCATCATTTGCTTTCCTTTTTCCTCATTAGCATGTTTAATTAGCATATATGATGCTTGGCGTGAAATCTTACCACTCTCACTCATGGGGGAGGAGAATAGGTCTATGGTGGGACAAGCAAAGAAGAAAAAGGAAGCCAAAAGAGTGAAGTATTGATGGTTTTTCAACACTTAACCATAAGAGCATTAAATAGAGAATTGAAGTGGTTAAAGCATTGAACTGGTATTTGTTGTTAGTTGCATTGGGCGGTTGACTGACAAATCAAAGCAAAGCAGTGTGTTGGGTAGTGGTAGAGTGTGAACCAAGTTGCAATAAAAGCCTCTTTTCCTCATGCAACCCCCCATTACTCACGCCGGCTTTTAATTTGTTTGATCCCAATACGTTTTCTTTTGCCTTTCAAGGACAATCATTACTTCATGTTGGATTTAGGATAACTTACACTCACAGTCATTACAGTTAATGAAATTATATTTTCATTATCAAATTAATTCTCCTTTTCTGTATACAGTGCCTATGCTAATTGATCACCACTTGTCTCCATCTTCTTCTTAAATTTCTGAAAAGCTCACAACTTTGTCGGCAAACCACAACTGCTAAACACTTAGTGATGCACTAGAAAGGGCAATACAAAGGCATGAATGAGATTGCAGCACCAGAGAACACATTAGTAAAAGCACAATAATGGAAAGGGCAGAGGGAAGAGCAAATTGATGATTTAAAGCCGAACCCTCTGCGTCTTCATCCTCGGGATCACATTTAAGTGAAGAATTTTGGCAATTCATCTCTCCGCCTCATTTGTTGCACTTATAACCTGCAAAGTTCAATTATGTTGGTTAAGGAAAGCATTTATTTCAAATCTTCCGTTTCAGTGTTTAGTAATGTAATGTGAACTGACAACCCTGATTAGTAGCCTCTGGTAATAAAAAATTTAAATAAATATTATCTTATAATCATCTCACACTATCAATATATATGTATATACCTATGGTATTTGATATGTGTAAACTTTAAGCTACAAATAATATAATTCGAGTCGAGATGATCAAAATACTCAAATTCAACGCACGTGATAATCTTATTCTTATAAATAATTTTACATTCCATAAATTAAATATAACCAGACTATAATCGAAATTTTTTTCATGTTCCACAAATTTAGATTTCTTTAGTGAAGTAAATCCGAACCCTCTGTGCTTTTTTTTATTGTCTCCCATTTTCAATCAGAAAGTTCCATATTTCACTTTAACTAGTGCAGTCATATCATTTTTGTTACCAAATTATTAACAGATTGACAAAAGGAGAAGATAAAATCTTTTACACCCTTTTTGTGAGTTTTTTGATATGTTTCTGCAACCCACCCAACCTCATTCCCATGTGTTGAAAGCTCCAAATCATCTAAGTGCATGGCCTCATATCCCCATTCCTATGCTCATATAACTATCAGCATATGCATCTCACATGTAGGAATTTCTTTTCCTTGACCGGCTTGCATTGGAAAAAATATTCACATTATTCCATCATGGCGGATCTAAGAATACTTTTGAAGTGGGCACACATAAATTAATAACACTATATTTCTTAATGAATGAACACATAAAATTTAAAAAAAAGAAAATGAAATTCTGGATATCCGCCTTCCGGAAGCTGTGCATCCACCACTGCGTTTGTTTATGGCACTCGTAAAACCATGCATATTGTTTACAGCAAAACTAATGACGATTATGACATATTGGAATATTAGTAATGCATGAGTGTGATTGTGTGTGAAAATAGGCGTGTGTTGTTGAGGTGTGAGTTGGTTAGATGGTTAAGGGCTGTTAGCAAGTTGTTAGAGTTGGTTAAGGCTGTTAAGCCAGCTCAGCTAATAGATGTATATATATAGATCTAACTGAAAAATAAAAAAAAAAAAAGATACATTTTCTGTATTACTTTATTTCTCTGGAAATCTCAATATGGTATCTTTCGCTGGACGATCCGGACGACTTGCTTCTGTTTCCGCTGCTTGACAAGAGTCCTCATAATGAGCGTTGATCAACTTGCTTCTTCAATGGAGGGGGTTTCGAGGAATGCTAAGGCTTTCTCGAATAAAAGAGTCAATGTCGTATTGGATGAATCAAATTTTCTGTTGTGGAAGCAACAGGTGCTTCTCACCGTTCGCAGCCATAGACTTGAACGACTTCTCACTGGCTCCATGACTGCTCCGTCACAAAACGGTGGTTAGTGATTCTGGTGAGGAGGTATTGAACGAGTATATGAAGAATATGTAGCTCAGGACAGTGCTTGCGTCTGGCTTCTGTCAACAATCAGTCCACAGTTGTTACCTCAGTTTGTCGGTGCTGAAACAGCCTCTGCTGTGTGGAGCACGGTGCTTCAGTTTTTCTCGAACAGATCCACAACGGCGGTCATCAGTTTGCACTACAAGCTTCAGTCTCTTAAGAAAGGAGACGAGTCCATGCGAGTTTTATCTTACTCGCGTTAAAGAAGTGTGCGATGCATTGGCATCGTGTGGCAGTGTTGTGTCACAGGCAGTGCATGTTGCGAGCATTTTAAAGGGATTACCTCGTGAGTACCAACTTTTTGTGGCTGTCATAACAACCATGCGTGAATCGGTGTCTCTTGACGCTATTTACCACTATGCTGATGGATGCGGAGACTCATTAGCAGGGTTTTGTGTCCGCTTGAGTCACTTCCTATGAGTGCACATATGGTTCAAGGGCAAATGTCAAGTAAGACTGTGGATCAGTCTGATCGCAACACTGTGTCTCGTCAAATGTACTCACGTGGTCGATCGACTGGTCGAGGTCGGGGTCGGTCTCGATTGCAATGCCAATTATGTGGAAAAAATGGTCATTTAGTCGACCGGTGTTGGCATCGGTTTGATGAAGACTTCCCTGGTGTTACAGCCAATAACACAATTATTCAAAGGAAGGAGTCAGGAAATGCTTACTATGCTGCCAAGGATAATTCATATGATTGCAATACCAGTCAAAAATCTGGTGCTCATCAGTTCAAATCACAGTTGTTGCTCGTGAACACTGGGTGGTGGATTCGGGTCCACACATCATGTCACTCTGATGGCACAAATATCTCACAGACAGTGGACTTTCATAATCCAGGTACAAGCTGTTGGTAGATTCTCTATTTACATTGTCGCGTGTACTGTTGTTAACCGATCTGTTGCATGTTCCAAGAATAACCAAGAATCTGCTGTCGGTGTCGAAGCTTGCTAGGGATAACAACGTTTTCCTTGAATTTCATGCGCATGAGTGTGTGTACGTGATGAGAAAAACCGGTTCAATATTACTTCGAGGAAAGGAAGATGGTGGCTTATACTCTTTTGTAGTTAACTCACCTGAAGATAATTCCAAGGCAGAAATTACTCAACTCAACTGACTACAGCTGTGTATGACTTGTGGCATCAGCGTTTGGGACATCCTTCGCATGATAGCTTAGTGAAAGTTTGTAAAGAAATAAATGTAATTCTTCCTTCAAGTGTTAATAAAACGTGTGTTGCGTGCCAAATGGGAAAGAGCCATAAATTGCCGTTTCATGCTTCTAACAGTATATGATGCTCCTTTTCAGTTAGTTTTCACAGACCTCTGGGGACCTTCACATATTACTTCGACTGGTTACAAGTACTATGTCACCTTGTTGATGCATGTACTAGGCACTCATGGCTTTACCTGCTCAAAGACAAAGCTCAAGCAATTAGTGCATTGAAATGTTCCAGCAGATGGTTAAGGTGCAGTTTGGTTTGCCCATCAAGGCTGTTCAGAGCGATTGGGGAGGTGAATATCGAAGGCTGTCGAGCTGCTTGTTGAAAGCAGGTGTTTGTACACAGGCTCACATGTCCACACACTTCTGAGCAGAATGGAGTGGTGGAACGCAAGCATCGTCATGTGATAGAACTAGCCCTTGTGTTGCTAGCTCAAGCGTCGATGCCTATCAAATTTTGGGCATATGCAGTTGTTACTGCAGTTCATTTAATTAACAGACTGCCTACAAGGGTGCATGGTGTATCACCGTTCGAGAAGCTGTTTCATCAAAAACCAGCTTATGGACAGCTAAGAGTATTTGGTTGCCTCTTTGCCCATCAAAGGCTGTTCAGAGCGATTGGGGAGGTGAATATCGAAGGCTGTCGAGCTGCTTGTTGAAAGCAGGTGTTGTACACAGGCTCACATGTCCACACACTTCTGAGCAGAATGGAGTGGTGGAACGCAAGCATCGTCATGTGATAGAACTAGCCCTTGTGTTGCTAGCTCAAGCGTCGATGCCTATCAAATTTTGGGCATATGCAGTTGTTACTGCAGTTCATTTAATTAACAGACTGCCTACAAGGGTCTTGCATGGTGTATCACCGTTCGAGAAGCTGTTTCATCAAAAACCAGCTTATGGACAGCTAAGAGTATTTGGTTGCCTCTGTTTTCCTCATTTGAGACCATACTTGAAGCACAAATTGGACTTTAGGTCCAAACATGCACCTTCTTAGGCTATAGTACTCGACATAAGGGCTTTCAGTGTCTTGCTGATGATGGTCGAATCTATATCACAAGACATGTGGTGTTTGATGAGAGTCAGTTTCCATTTGCAAAGAAATGTGCTCAGTTACCTGCTGCTACATCAACCATCAACAGACCATCTGGCTCAATCGAAATTGTCACTGATGTTAGCAGACTTCAAGAAGAAAGGTACACCACAGGGTCTCAACACAATTTAGTAGATAATGCAAATAATTATTCCAGTAGTTTGCCTGGTGCAAGTCAGATCATCAGGAGACTGCTGATAATGTGTTGAGTGCACAGCAACAACCGTCGAGTGAATTTTCAGTCACTGGTCAAAATACTAGTAATACTGAGCAGATTGAAGTTGTCAGTACACATGGTGAGACTCAAGACTTGAATGTCACTGAAGAAGGTGCAGAAAATTTGTGATGCACAAGTCAATAGTCATCCGATGATGACAAGGAGTAAATGTGGCATATTCAAACCAAAGGCTTTTACCTCTAATGTGAGTGAAGTCCCGAACAATGTCTATGAGGCTTTCAACAGTTCTAGCTGGACAGAAGCTGTTCAGGCGAGTTTGATGCACTGCAAAGGAACAATACTTGGTCGATTGTGAAGATGCCTACAGATCGTGAGGTGATTGGATGCAAATGGTTATTTCGAATAAAAAGAAGGCCTGATGGAACTGTGGAAAGACACAAAGCTAGGCTTGTGGCAAAGGGATACTCGCAAGTACCTGGTTGCGATTTTAAAGAAACCTATAGTCCTGTTGTTAAGTTTGCCACATTGAATACAATGTTGTCAATTGCTGTTGCGAGTAATTGGCCATTACGACAAATCGATGTGAATAATGCTTTCTTGAATGGTGATCTAACCGAGGATGTCTTTATGCAGCAGCCTCCTGGGTTTGAGGAATATGCTGCTGATGGAAGTTTGCTCGTGTGTAAACTTAACAAAGCATTATATGGTCTTCGATAGGCACCAAGGAACTGGCATGATAAACTTAAAACCAGTTTGATCAGGATGGGATTCAGTGAGTCTCGAGCTGATGTCTCACTATTTGTTAAGGATAATGGAGATTGCTCTACTTATATTCTTGTCTATGTCGATGACATAATCCTTACTGGTGGATCCTCTCATGTTATTGATGAAGTGGTGAGGACGTTGAAGCTGCAATTCTCTTTAAAAGATTTAGGAGAGCTATCCTATTTTTTGGGCATTGAAGTTACGAGGAAAAATGAATCCTTGTGTTGTCTCAGAGGAAGTATATAGTTGAGTTGCTAGAGAGAACAAATTTACTAGGTGCTCACCCACTGTTACCCGATGATGGTGCTCAAAAATTAAACAGGACGCGGGTGAATTATTAACAAATGCTCGAGAGTATCGGAGCATTGTTGGTGCTCTTTTGTATGTGTGTCATACACGACCGGATGTTGCCTTCAGTGTTAACAAGACTGCTCAGTACATGCACGCTCCACGTGAGCTACATAGGCTGCAGTGAAGAGGATACTCCGATATTTAGCTGGGACATTGGACTATGGTCTCACATTTACAGGTACTAGCAAGGCACTAGATGTTGTGGCGTTTGCTGATGCAGATTGGGGAGGCAGTCTTGATGACCGAAGATCGGTTTCTGGCCATGTAGTATATCTTGGTGCGTGTCTGTTTGGTGCTCGAGGAAGCAGAAGACAGTCTCCAGATCTACGATGGAGGCTGAATATCGAAGCGTTGCTGAGACAGCTTCTGAGGTTACTTGGATCAGCTCGTTGTTAGTTGGGGGTGAAAAATCGAATCACACCTGTCATTTGGTGTGATAATACTAGCGCTGTTGCATTGAGTACAAATCCAGTGTATCATGCTCAGTCAAAACATGTTGACATGGACGTGCATTTCGTTCGTGAGAAGGTTGAAGCTAAACAACTTCAGGTGAACTATGTTCCGGCGTGCCATCAGGTGGCAGACGGGCTGACCAAGTCGCTGACAAAGGGAGCATTTGAACTCTTCAGAGATCAACTGTGTGTATTCCCCCGTTGAGAGGGTCGAAGGAGCAGGAAGAATATTGGAATATTAGTAATGAGTGTGATTGTGTGTGAAAATAGGCGTGTTGTTGAGGTGTGAGATGGTTAGATGGTTAAGGGCGTTAGCAAGTTGTTAGAGTGGTTAAGGCTGTTAAGCCAGCTCAGCTAGATGTATATATATAGATCTAACTGAAAAAAAAAAAAAAAAAAAAGATACATTTTCTGTATTACTTTATTTCTCTGGAAATCTCAATATGACAGCTAAAGCAGCTGTTTGGTCATTTTATCTGAAACACAATTATGGGTCCAACAACTACTTTGCTTTTGTGTATTTATTTTCTTCAACAAGTCTTCGACTCACCAAGTTTATAATAGTATCGGCCGGGATGGGGCAGGTAATAGGTAAAATTGAACTTTAGTCCCTTTAAAATTTATCAAACTGTAAGCTAATTCGTTGATGGAATTGCATTTTAACCCTTAAACTTTAATTTTCAACTCTAATTCTCTACAAAGGTTTTCTAGCTTCATCCCTATCTGGCGCCTGGGGGTCCATTTATCGACGGACCATTTTTCATAAATGCAAGGGACTATGAGTGACTTCACTCTTTTTCTTCTAATTAATCTAAAATAAGTACAAGGTAATATCTGTTTAAAAATAATTCTTAATCATTTGACATTAAATATTCAAACCCTTGCCAATGAATGTTGGCACAAGTGGTTGGGATTTAAGAATTTGAGCTTGTAAGGCTAAGTTTGAATCCCACCACCATCACTCTTGGTGGGCAATCTGTAAAGTTATATGTAAATCTCAATTGAGTATTAGGTATGTCCTGACCCTGGATTGGGGGAGCCAACACTCAGACAATATTCATGACATTCGAACCCAAGACCTTAAGGAATAATAACAATTTATTTACCACTAAAGTTTATTAATTCATGTATGAGAATTCACTTTATTTAATGAAAAAAAGGGTTCTATTTTAATGGAAAGGCTTGCTTATTATTATTATTTTAGTAATTATGAGAAATTTTATATTATTTAATTTAAAATTAATTAATTAATAAATTAAATATTGACAATAAAGGGACTTCCCTTCTTATATATAAAATTATAACCCTTCTAATCAAATCAGATTTGCTTTTTGGAAACTGGCAGACTTTATATTATCATTATTATGAAGTAACCCTTGGATGTGATAAATTTTGAGAAAATTCAAAAAGCATTACAAAGAAGAACCCCGCTAATTTGCTTCAGGGACAAAAGGGTAGGCCATTTATAAAAGTGGGTGCCCATTCAAGAAGCCCAGCACCATGACCTTTAGCTGTTTTAATGGGTATTCCCCCACATACGATCCAAAAACGAAAAGCGATCATTATCAATAGAAGGACAAGGATTGGATAGAAATTATTTTTTATTAGTATGACGGGATTATAATTTAATATTCATTTAGATTTTCTTTAATTTTTTTTAATAATTTACGTATATTGTACAGATGGAATGTTTAGATTTATAATATTTACTGAAATTTGTATTATTAAATCAGTTTGATGACAAGACCAATAATTTTAGCTACGAGTCTTAGACTGTCCCGGGACTTCCCAGTGCCTAGAGGCTAGAGATGTGATCACTCTTTAATTCATAGAAATAATATTCAAAATGGAACAATGCTCTATGCAAGCATTAATCATTCCAACAATTTTAATCACGTAGTATTGTAGTGAAATTCAACTTGCTTTAATTTTAACCCGGGAATTTGTCTTAGACCGGATCTTGGAAACTTATGAAGGGTTATTGTTTGAGTCAGAATTATAAAAACGACAAAAATGTATGTGTTTGCTTCTGCGTCGGTCCATCGCTATCCATTTATGACTTCTTGTGCTTAGAGGATCAACCTCCAATGGTTGCTGATTCCAAGCTCACATGGATTTTAGTATTTTTAATCTTATTTTGTTATCTCGGGAGAAATGACTGAGCGTTCATGTAAAAGACAAATGGCATAAATACATCTCACAGAACAACATGGTAATCAATTATAACGAAAAAGATACAAGGATGGATGATGCTAACACCGCAGAAAATACGCAACAAATTATGGTGTAGCCACCATATATAAACAATGACGCATTGCAAGACGTGTGCCAAGTAATGACCACCGATTCATATACAATTTATAGATTTATGTGGCTAAAATAAATTCTAACCATATACTATTATATAATTACTTTTAAATTAATAAAAATATATATAAAAGATAATTTTAACCATTAAAAAAATGTATTGAGTAGTGAGAGAGCAGCTTCACAAATTTGTTTGGATGCAAACAAAGACGAGCTTCCTGTATCTGAGAACTTAGTTCCAAGCATCAGCTTTAGTAGCACACAAGAGAAGCTCATGCAAGTATTCCCAGTTAGCGTTGACGTCGATTAAGTCACGAGCCTCCACCATTTCTTGCATGGATCTCCTGAAATCCATGAATGGGTCGGGAGAGACGGTCGGGATGGCGACACTGTTTTCGACTGTCGTCGGGGGGCTATATTCATGACTCGGACGATCGCAGCAACCGTCGTCGTTGGAGGATTCATTTGCGATATCCATGGGACTGGAACTGCCGGGTAATACTGCAGTATCCGATGACTCCGGCGTAGTGGCCATCGATGGCGACGGTGTTGATTCAATTATGGAGTTAGAGATACCGGGAGAAGTGAAGAAGAAGCGCTGTGAAGCGAAAACGGTGGCGAAGTCGGGTTCGGAGTCAGATTCGGGCTCCGGGTCGAAGGAGAGAGATGAAGAGTGGGTTAAGGATTTGGAGGTTGAGTAGTCGAAGGTGTTGTCATAGAGGGAGTTATAGTTTTTGAAGATGGCTGATGACGCGGTGCAGGAGGTTAATAGACGGCGGCTATCATCTGGGGTTAGCGGCTGCGAAGAGGAAAGGTGGGAGGCTAATGGGAATCTGATACTTTTGAAGCAGAGATAGAGGTTTTTTCCCAGGGTGTTTGGCATAATTATGGCCTCAAGTTGACAAGTTGTGGTCTCAAAAAAGAGATTTAGAGAAGGAAATGAAACGCAAGCTTATGGATTATGTTTGCTCTACTGTTATGTTAGAGAGAGAGAGAGCAGGAACCAGGAAGAAGGTGGAAGGCTCCATTAATATATTTGTGAATATTGGGAGCAGAGGGAGAGATATAGTTGATGGTGAAGGCTCCATTACTCCTATATATGTACCATAACTTCATACATTGACTATTGATAAATGATTGGTAAGATGATAAATTGCAATATATCTAAAATTTCTAATCTAAATTACACAAAAATATATTAAAAAATATTTTTAATTTTAGTGGTCTAAGCAAAGCTTTTATCATTTCTTTGCATGCTTTTATTTCCTTCTAGATTTAAAGATTATATTAGAGAGATGGTTAATTATTCTCAATTTGTTTTCAATTTTTTTTAAAAAAAATAGATTCTTTACTGGATATTAACTATTAAGTTTATTAACATAACACTTAATAAGTAACGACATTAATTATTTATATTAACGTGACAATTCACGTTGATATTTTTATTAACACATTAACTTTTTGAAAATATTTTACAATACACTCACTCGTCCAAATTTTTTATGTGGCAAACACAACAAAATTAAAAGATTTAATGGTACATAAAGTCCTCAAACTTTGAAAATATAATTCATAAACTTAATTTGCATTCAATATGGTTTGTAAATTGAAAAAAAAATTAATCTAATTATTTGATCAACAAAAAAAATAATTGATTATTATAGTATTAACGTAATAGTTTATAATATTAATGTGATAGTTCATTATAAATGATGGGCGTGTAAAAAATTCAATGATTCTTTTAGAAAACTCAAGAAATCATTACCTTTTTTATATAACCAAAGGTTTATTTAATATTAGAAAAATAAAAATTAAGAAATTATGTGAGCAACATTTTTAATATAAAGATATATAAATATTCAAACTAATATAAAAATATTAAATATTAAAATATTAAAATGCTAAAAATGTTATTAAACTTAAAAAAACTGAAAACCTAAATTATAATTGGTATTCTTCTCCGTGATATTAAATATAAAACTGTATTTCCACTCCACTTTATGATTAAAAACTGCTTCGAAAAGATAATTTAGAATTGATATAATGTTTAATAAAAAAACTGTTATGATGTTAAAAAAATATCTCTAACATGTGATTAAATATTCATTTTGGTTTTTGTATATATTTTTAAAATATATTGCCCCCTAACACTTTATTTTAGGATAAAATGACTAATAATGTTTGACAAATAGTTATTTTAGCCCTTATATTTTATTTTTGGAGTATTTTGGTCTCAACGTTTCATTTTAGGAGAAACTCATATTTTATAGTGTTGAAAATTTAATAACTAACCGTTTTTATCTACAGATGGATCTTTTTGATATAATGTTAAAAAAATCTCTAACATCTTATTAAATAGTTATTTTGGTTCATATTCCTTTTTTTTAAAAATAATGTATTTTGTCCCCTAACATTTCATTTGAGGATAAAAAGACTCCTAATGTTTGAAAAATAGTCACTTTAGCCCTTATATTTTATTTTTGGAGAATTTTTGCCCAATGTTTTATTTTAGGGGAAAAAATCATATTTTACTAATGAGTTTTTTGTCACAAAATGAAAAGTTATGGGCCAAAATACTCTCAAGAAAGAGACTAAGACTCAAAGTGGCTAATTAATCAAACGATAGAGTTTTTTTTTAAGATTATATGTTAATAATTTGGGGGATATGAAGCATATGTAAGGGGGAGAGGGCCTTAGATGAAATGGTTAGAAAGAAAGGGAGAGGTGAAAGTGGCAAGTTTAAAAATGGTCCAATGACTGTTAAAACTACCAAAGGTAGCACATGGTGGTGGGAGCCCCATCCAACTAACATAACATCTTGCTTCCGATTGCGTCCAAAAGAACCCTCAACCACCGGTTCAGGCAAACGCCACTCTACTAATGCACATAAAAACACTACAGAGTTGAAGCGGTGAAAATAAGGAACTGTTGCTGTTGTTTTCAGAGAAGGACGTTGCAACGGAGTGACCACCAATCCACTGCGACATCAGAAAAATAAAAAGCCGAGCATGAGAAATCAACGTCAGTTGGAGCAGTCCACCAAACTACTAGTCGCCTCAATTTCGATGAAAAAAAGACCCGTCTCTTTGTTACTCTACGTAGTAGCCAACTAATTCCTGCTTTTAGCACAAGGCCTCATTTTCAAGCAATATTCTTCAATCATTTCCTATAATCCAAATTCAATAGTTTTCCAACTGACCATTACAGCATATGGGTCTTAAGTTTAATGAATAATATGCCTGAAAATCGTTGTTAATTTTGTAGGAGAGCAATCTTCTTCAAAGCATACTAAAGCAATGCTGGCAAGGACATGTATATCTCAGTTGCTATTGTAACGTCAATGGCATTATTAGCATTGCTGTCCAATTCCAATAAAATATAATACCAAGAAGTTTCAATGCAACGCCCACACGTGGTCACTGATCACATGGCAAGCAAGGGTTTGGTGTTTGTTCTCGTTGCTGGTCTTAAAACTCATCCTCACAACTATATCATTTCTAAACAACTAATATACAGGGAGACCACAACATGACTAATCATTGACCTATAAATAATAATAATAAAAGACCCTTAATTCTCATGTGTGTGATACAGTTGATTAGGTAAAAGGGCAAGAAGCTTATGTGTTGCAGTGCCACTTCAGATCATAAGGTTTCAGATCTTAAAAATGAGCTGTTGGATCTCTGCCCCAAAAGCCAGCCAAACGTGTTTTGTTGAACTTCCTCGCATGTTCTGTGCTGCAAACCAGAGAGGTTCTGCAATATTAAGGGGATACACTATTATTTTGTGACACTAGTATCAATAGTCTTCAAGATTTGTATAATTTTGTGTCTCCTGTTCTTATCAATTTGCAATATTATACTTTTCTTTTTCTCATAAAATTTTCCACTTGTTTTTCATAATTTCTTTTACTTCTCCCAAGTCTTAATTTTCTTAAATACACATAAACTTGAAGAATTAAATTGAAAAAATATATAAGAAATTTTTTATTAGAAGAAAGAAAACTATATAAACATTATACTATAATTGAGGACAAATGATTAGTTTATGGTCAAAAATTGAATTAAACGAAAGAAAAATTAAAGAAATCAATGATCAAATTAAAAGAAAATTAACTAAAGATCAATCGACGTTTTAATTTTTAAATTTTTAATCATTCGAACTTTATAAATTTAAGTTCGACTCAGATTTTATATTCAAAATAAAATTTAAATTTGATTAAAAATCTTGATCGAATAACTCGATTTTTTTAAAGTGATTTTTTGAATAAATTAAATTTTATCAACTCAATAGAAATACATCAAACGAATAGAAGCACGTCAAACAAAGTAGTTTGACGTCTTTTTAAAAAAATATTTCATATTCCAAATACACAGCTGCAGCTGTAGGACGGAAATGAAGATTTATGAAAGAAAACAACAATAAAATATTTTTTTTTTGAAGGAACCAAAATAAGATAAAGAAAAAGTTGAAGGGGATTAATAGATAGAACTTATTTCGCCTTCTCAAAATTGTACTCGTCACTGCACAGTTAGTGACATTTATTAATTTTACAAAATGATTACGTGGACCTGTATTTTTTTATTTTATATAAATCTTCTATTTTATGTTGAGAATTAAACATTATTTTTAAATAATCTAACACAGTCGTAGTATAAATATAACTAAAAAAATGTGTCGTAATATAAATATAATTGAATATGTTAGAAGATAACGATATGCATAATAATCGTCCAATAAAATAGATAAAAAATTTCGTAAAAAATCAAAGTGAACTAATATTAAGAGAAGAGGAGTTTCTAACATTAATTTTTTATAAATACTACGAGTAAAAAAGGTAAAATTCACTCATATTAAGAGAAGAAGAGTTTTATAGACAAACTAATTTCTAACTTTAATTTTTAGTCTATATTTATAAATACTTGATTACAAAAGAAATTAAATAAAATAAAAATATATTTTTTAAAAAATTATCTAATTTTAAGTAAATAAAAATTTATTAATTTCTCCGGTGTCACTTTAAATTTGAGTATAAAATAAGTTTATCAATTTCTCAAATAAACTGGTACCGTTTTAAATTTGAGTCAAAGTTTAACAAAATAAATAATTAGTACTATGTTAAATTTGAGTCAAAATTCAACAAGGTTTAGCTAAATGAATAATTGGTAACACTTTAAATTTGAGTTAAAATTTAGTAAAATGTATTATAAAATAAATAATTAATACCAACTTAAATTGGAATCAAAGTTTAACAAAAATGAATAATATTTGTAATAACATAACAAAACCGTAGTACAAATATAACTTAAAAAATGAATAATATTTGTCGGAAATAGAAGTACGATAACGATACCAGTATTGTATTAGTTTGATTTAAGTTGTAATTTATGCATAGTTTTATTGTTTGAAAAGAATTTATACATAGTTTTAATTTAAGTTGTTGCTGAGCTAATATCATTTGTATGATATATTAAACTGGTATTTAATCTTGATTGAGATTGATTAATCATTAGCGAAGGAAGTGTTAGGCGGAGGTTGAATAAAGTATAATGTTGGGGAGTGAGATTAGAATGCCGAATGCTGCATGCATCTTAAAAGTAGGTACATTTCCAAAGCTATTACAGGCAGCATTGTTACTATGTAAATCAAGCCTGGATTGGGGAACAACACATTACTTCCTTTCCAAAGTAGTATTATCATAAGATCTAAATTGTTGAGTTTTGATTACGCCGAGCTGCTATGGCCATGGCATCACCCACTCCACCTGCCGTAGTTTGCATCTCTGGATTATTTCTCACCTCCGCAGCTACCACCTTCTCAGCATCTTCACGAGTCACTACTTTATCCTTTACCAATATCGCACTTGCATCCTGCCCAAAATTTAAACTCATCACACTAATACAATATTATTCCATCCCAAATCCACTACTACAAAGTACTATGTTATTACCGCTAAAATGTCCGACAGAGTGGCTCGATCTTCGGACCCATCCATTTGGGAATTCCGAATGGCTGCAGATTGAGCCTCGGATGCAATACCACCGGGCAATATCTCGCTACTTCCGGTAGCTATCATTTCAGCAGCTTGAATTGCGGCCGCATCGCTCTCATCAATCGGTTTATCGGAAGCAGAGAGGGCTGCCACCTCTAAAGCCTCTCCAATCGTAATTGGACCAGGATCAATCAATGTTGCTGGAGTTGTAGTCACCATTGAAACATCCGGTTGCCTGTATTCCGCGACCACCTTTGCTTTGATGTTTAAACTTCTTTATTAGATTGGAGCAGAAATAAACCTAGATTATACACAAGAATGGATCCAAAATTCCACCTGTCCACCAACGGATTCTGTGACCAAAACCTCGCCATCTTTGTTAGATTTAATGACGGCGACGCCTTGATCTCCACCTTGGTTGCGGCTAACGAGGCCTGCTCTTTCATTAGCGGTGGATGCGGATTGCATTGCAGCCGCGGGACCCTTTTTGGTTGTTTGTCCTAGGACCATGTTCTCAGCCGACTGCATGGCGGCGGCATCTTGTGGTCCGATAGGTTTTGAAGCCAGTTCACCGGTCACGTTAAAACCATTACCGAACGTGATAGGTTCCAGCTGATCATGGGATTGATCAGCCCCAGCCCTTTGTGGTTGTTGCTGGCTCATGGTTTCGTTGATCGGAGGTCTAATTTGTGTATGGTTTTAAAGGGAAAACAAAATGGATAGATTAGCATGGCCACTAAGGGAGGTGCTATAAATACGTAGGGTGAAGATCGGTGCGCCGTGGAGACATGAGTAATGATGTTTTTGGTGGTGTAGGCCAAGTGGTGGTATCTGGAAGAAGACATATGGAAAGGCAATAGCAGATGGAGTTTGAATAAGTAGTACATGGCTTGGTCGTATGATCCCACGTAAGCAAAGGGAATGGCACTTGGCAACAAGCTATAATCTCTGCATACTTTCGGAACATGATCATTTGTGGCCATGAGCAACTACAGGGCTAGGACTTCTCTACAATTTAATTCAGTTATTCTATTACTTTTAAAATATTAATATGTAATAAATTTGAGATTTCGGATTTGGTAATTAGACACAACCTCAAATAATTATTTAAATCCAAATAAGAAAATAAAACTGAATTCGATTATACAAATTAAAATCTAAACACAAAATTTCATTTGATAAAAAAAATGAAAAAATTTGATTCACTTTTGTGTAAATGTCTTTTAAAAAATGGGTTAAGTAGTTTTTCAAGCGAACGTCAATTTGATATAATCGGTTTTATCTGGTAATAAAATAAGTAGGTTTTGGGTAATTTTGAATTGTTGGGCTATACCTAAAAGCAGGAGAAGGTGTAACAAGCAAAGTGAAGAGGCAACCTCATATAAATGTGCAGGTACGCATACACCACATATTCGTAGGACAAGGAGCACTTTGCATTTGATAAGTTCTGCTTTTCCTAGTGCAGAGGATTGTTTGTAGTATTTAATAAACTTGCCGAATTAAATGTCGGGATTTTAACTAATGTACAATTCTGGTAAATGATTAACTCTTATTTGGTATTTCCAAAACAACTCTTTAGGACATGTTAAAATAAGAAAAGAAAAACATTTTATTCCTGATAAATAAATATGTAGGAGAAAATGAGGAAATCTTATAGTTTCAAGATCAATCAAATGTCAAATGCTATTAACAACAAATTAGACGCCGCTGGTGATCTGAACTGTGATTTATTAACTACAAATGCTCTTCACTCTTCACCATCTTCATCAATCATCAGTCTCAGCTTTAATCCTTTATCATATGCTGCAACTTTACACAAGCGTCTGGGATGGTGATCTTATCCTCGTCTCGCTGTACTGGCGGTGGCTTTCATCTCCGCCGTGATTTTATTTCTTCAGTTTGTCGCCAATAGATAAAATTGTTACTTCTCCTACGTGGTGGCTTCCTGTCCTGGTAGGTATTTTCGTCCACCTTGAACCATGTTGCCTCTTCCTCGCTCATTTTTGTCCCGATAAAAAAGGTTAATGAAAGTAGAGCAAAGATATATATATATATATAGCTGAACCTGTAAGTAATCCACACCTATAACAAAACTCGAAACTTGAAATATGCTAACATTCCAAATGCTCCTAATTACTAAGCTACGTGCGCATGGCCACGAAGATTTCTAGTTTCGTTCTTGGGGCTTCCATTTGATATATTATGGACAGCTTAGTTTTGAAACCAAGATAAAAAAAATAAAAATCTTATTAATGATTCCAAGGAAATCAATGGGAACACTGCTAAGATACTTATAATTTACTGTATTTACAACATCTCCACAGCGGACCCGTAGCTTGCTGTAAAAATTCGAGACAAAACCTGTCGCAAAGCTACAATAAAACGCTTATAAGCAGCCTTTCAGATTCAGGCGGCGTCATCTTAATCGTCTAGGTTCATCTTAGCAGCTTTTTCCATCGTATCCGCCACTCCACCGGGCCTTGCAGCGGCTTGAGGCCTAGCTCTCAGCTCTGCACCTTTCACCTCATCGGCATCTTCACATGTCACAGCTTTATCCCGAGGCAACTTTGAAGTAGCATCCTGCATTGCAATGAAAACCAATTCCCCCCAAAAAAATATTTGATTTATTATTTCTCTTTTTTTCTTGGCAATATTAATGTATTGAAATTTGCATGGTGTTTTAATATTTATTTACCAATAAAACATCAGAAATGGTTATCTTATTGACGTTTTGAGCTGCACCGGCATTGAAACTTGCCGCGGCTTGGGCTTTGCCGCCCAACCTACCACCTTCCGTTTCGTCGCCGCTTGTATTGATGCATCTCTTTTCTGCTTCTTGTATTGCAGCAGCGTCGCTTGATTCAACGGGTGTATCGCCAACAGATACGGCTGCCGTCTCTAAAACTTCTCCGATAGTGATAGGGTCGAGGTCGAAGTATTTGGTGATCTGTGACCTTGGCTGTCGTTCGCTCATTTCGTGTATTGTAATAGGCTGCCTTCTGATTGATTGAGACCGAATATTTCAGAGAATTTAGTTAGCGGAGAAAGTTGTTAAGGATGGGCTTTAATTAGTAGTGTCTATAAATATATGGCGTTATGCGCTCGGATAGACTTCTAATTCTGATGATATTTCATGAGTAGATTGACACGCTTCACCTTGCTAAACAGGCGCTGGGAATTTGCAAATTATTTATAGCTCTATTTGGCTTCTGTTTGCAGCCTTCATTTAATTATTAAAATAATAAAATTATGATATATATTTTTAACTTTTAAAAGTATCTAAAATTTTACTTTACAAAATACTTACTAATTTTATTAAGAGAATATCATATCCTTGTCATAAGAAAAACTCATCTCCCTACTTTCCCACATTCTCAGAAACATTGAACTTTTGCCTGAACATCTCAAAGTAAGCTCGAGACAGTGATTTGGTAAGACCATCTGCCTTTTGAAACTAAGCTGGAATATAATTGATAAAAACACTTCCAGCAGCAACCTTCTCCCTGATAAAATGAAGGTCCAACTCGATATGCTTTGATTGAGAGTGTAAATCGGGTTGACTCTCATAGCCACAACACTCGTGTTATCACTCCAGACGATAGGCTTTCTTGAACACGACACACCCATATCGACTAACAAGGCTTGAAGCCAAATCACATATGCCATTACATCAGCACCACCTCGATATTCAACATCGTTGGTCGATCTAGAGACCGACAGTTGATGCTTGGAACCCCATGACACTAAATTTCCCTAAAGAAAACGTAAAATTCGTACATCGAACGTCGGCCATCAATATTACTCGCCTAACTAGCATTGTCAAAAGCATCCAATGCCATCCTTGAGAGAAACTAAGCCAAAGTCCAGAGTCTCACACAAGTAACGCAAAATGTGTTTCACTCCAACCCAATGTTGAGATACTCGATTCACACTAAACGCAATGCCAGGTCGAGTATGATTCATATACAACAGCGTACCAACAACGCTTCTATAAATTGAGCATCTTTTAGCGGACGCCCACCATCTTTACTAAGTTTTGGAAAAACAACCATTGGTGTAGGAACCGGGTGTACTCCAAGCATATCAGTATGATACATCTTATATGAACAGGGTGTCATATGTATGATTGTGTAGGTTTATGTTTGAACGATTATTTCACTAAATTTTTTGAAGTTTATTCTATGTTTTCATTGTTTTTCTTAAGTAGATAAGTTGGATAAATCAAATCATATTTCGACAAATCACAAGTCATCCTAAAATTCTTAAGAGTCTATAGAATGTATAAGATATTCTTATGAAATATTTTAATATCATGATCATTTTGTGTATATGTTCTATTCTGAGTTACATTGATTTTGTTTAAGTTATAATGTCACTACATATATGTGTTGCTTATGTGCTTAGAGATGTGTTCATATTGTGTTTAATAATAGTTGCTCTAGATATGATTATAATATGCATGATCAAATATTTAGGGGTATGCTAGGTCATTGGTGAATTAGTAAATGGGATAGAAATGGAAAAGATGAATAGGTTACTTGAAATGCGACATGTTTCCCATCGGATTCCAAATAGGTACGTGTCACGGCGTAACCAGCCGGTCACAAAATCTTGTGCTTCACTCCTAATTAATATGGATATGTGCTCCCACTCTACTTCCAAACTTATTTATCTTTATTATAGAAAAGCAAATATTAAATTAAAATGCTTTAAATAATTTGTAAACTATCGATTGCATCAATCACACGCAACACCATATCCTATTGTATTAAAAAAATACGAACTTGAAAGAGAGAAATTGAGATCCGATCAACTGGAAAAAAGGTTGAATGAATTTTGGACCACAGCCCATACGTGTCCAAGGAAATGGAGGTTCAAGGGTAAAAAGAGAGAATACTTCTAATGGGTCTAGAACTCATGACTTAAGGAAATATGATAAAATAAAGATGATCAACTTAACCAACCGACTAAATGTGGTTGCTCGAAGTTGTCCCATCTCTAGTCATTTCTAGAATTAATGTTTGCATTTCCACCCATTGTAATTTGTTTATCGTGGACCCTTTGGCTATAGGTAATAAAGATCCCTTTCTCTTTAACTTGCTTAATTCAAGTTAGCATAGCTAACACAAGTTCTAATCAGCATCATTATTATTAGTCACTTAAAAATACAGGTATATTTCCTTTTCATGGTGAAGAGGAGCAAGAGGGAACCTGGCAATGATGTGGGGGCGATAATTCAAGTTGAGAAACCTCATTGCTACATTTTTTAATATTTGGACTTATCCGTGCACAAAGCATCAAAATTCTCAACCACTGTTAATTATTTCATTGTTGATCCAGAAAGAGACTAGAGTTTTGGTCATTTTTATATTATCAAAACTAGATAGATGCTTAAGAATTAAGATACTTTAAGATCGTATAAACATTCAAGATTTGCTCATGAATTTTTTTAATATATTTCTCAACCAAGATAAGTATAGTTGGGTATGGTTATAATCACCTGAAAGTGATGATGAATGAAGTAACTGGCTCTTGAATTATAAGGTATGATGATTGATGTGATTGTGGGGAAATAGAAAAAGAAAAAGGCTTACGTTTTAAATAATTACTCAAAACAAAAATTATTCTGAAGTCTTAACATTATCTCATCCTCTACTATCTCTTATCTGCAGGGGAGAGGGTAAAAACAAAAGGCAAAAGAGTATGGATCCAATGATTCTGGTTGCAATATTCAGAAATAATTTCTTGAAGCAGTAATGAACTCCTCTCCATCCAGGAGCATTTCTTGATATCGGCACTCTGGGCTGCAAAAGGCCTTCTCACCTCTGCATTACAAACACATTTATCAGATTATACATCAAGCCTAATGAAATGGAGTTTTTATTATATGAAAAAGATGAAACTTGAGTTTTTCACCTGTAAATGTAAATGTCAATTTTCTGTTCAAGATTCTTCTTGCATGTGTGACAAAAGCTAAGGAAACTTTCGGATGCAGTCTTGGATTTATTATCTGCTACACTGCAGTAGTTTTCGACCACGCAGTTGTTGAATATATGTGTGGTTCTGGGATTCGGACCGTGAGATATCACGCATGTATAATCCTCAGACAGCTCCATTTCAGTAACCAGAATGCAAGGAGAATCCTTCATATGGATACCAGAATCAGGAGATCCGAATGTTGGCAATAAATCTGAATTCCTGGTCTTGATTCCAAAATCAGTAGGTGGGAGTGGAGGAATCTGGACTCTGAGCTCGGTCCCGAACAAGACCTTTTTGTTGTTATTCTTCTCGCCAGAACTGTTATCTTCACCTCGGTTATCGTTGATGAATGTATCGAGTATAGCAAGCCCGATGCCTTTCGGTTCTGGATTTTCAGGTGACAATTTTTTGGGTTTCGGGCGGTTTAACGCAAAGGGGTTACAAAAGGGAAAGGATAGTTTGTTGTCGAGGATTGAAGTAGGGCTCTTGATAGCTTCGGTTTCAGGGAGGGCTTTTGAAGTGAAAGCTTTGAATCTTGGAGAACCGAAGAAAGATGGGATTGGTTTAGTGTAATTCTGGGCAGCTGGGGATTTTTGGGAGCTCTGATCAGCCATTAAAGTTTGCTTTCCTGTCATTGCTCTGGACCTTTTCCTCAGCATAACTAAGAACAAGAAACTGAAAGGAAACAGCTATGAAGAAGAAGAAGAAGAAGAAGAAAGCTTGAACTCACCTGGAAATGATTAATGTCACACCACAACCATGAACAGAAAAAAATGAGCTTTTTATTTTTAATTATTATTTAAAGATGCAGGAAACGCATAATCTGGGAAATTGGAATGCTTTCTAAATCTCTGTAGCCTCCATGACAGAATACTCTGTTTCCCTAATTTCTTGTCTTTTTTCTCAGTTTCTTCGATTCGACTGGCTCAACAAGGACAAGACTCGATACCCATCATGATAACTCGCATGCAAAGCACATGACAAAGAGCGGACACAAACAGCAACTGCTCTGCCATTTATTTTTTACTGCAAAAGAACTACATATGGCTGTTTAGGCAAATATGGTATAAATTTTCGCTACTCCCGAAATCATCACTCCTCTCAAAGTAAAATTGAAAATTGAAAATTGAAAATTGAAAATTGAAAGTGGAAAGATAAAAGCTTGGAGTAATCTTTTTCCCTCTCTGATGTGGGACTTTTACTTTCTGTTAGTGGGGATCTTAACTAAGCCACTGTCAATCTCTTCTTTATTCAGCCCCAGCAAAATTGCCAAAGGGAGAGAAAAGGTAAGGTACGAAAGAGAAGAAAAAAAGAAAGCTAAGTTTAAAAGGGTAGAGTTTGGTTGTAGGTTGTATAGGGTTTTAAAGAGAGAGGAGTATGCAACTTATGCATGAGAATTAGTGAGTTTTTTGTTTGATTTTACCAAAATATCATTCGTACAGGTAATAATTACTTGTTAGGTACTTTTTCTCTTAATATTATTGATCTAGCACCCTTTTACAAGGTGCGGACGTTTCGCGGGATTTTGTTCGAGCTAGCGCCACATAAAGGGAGGCGTGGATCATCATCCGCGCCTTAACTGAACCTTTGACATATACGAAAGACGCCCTTAGCTGAACCTATGACATATATGAAAGACACAAATCGTGAAGCGCCCCTTCCATAGGTTTACATCATCCCTAAAGCATTTTAAAAAAGAAAAAATAAATTCAGTGACCGAAAATGTCTTATAATATAAGATTTTAACCAACTTTTTTGGATTTACGAAAATAACCAACAAATTCGCAACGCGATCTCAAATTCGCAGCACGAACTCCAATTTCGCAATCCAGTTTCCAAATTCGCAACACAGAAGTCAAATTCGTAACACATAAGTCAAATTCGCAACACTAAAGTCAAATTCGCAACGCGAATCTGTAAATCGCAACGCGACAGTTAAATTCACAACTGAATTTCAAATTCGCAACTCGATTTTCGAATTCACAACACGAATTTAATTTTGCAACAGGTTTTAGTTTCGCAACACAAATATTTTTTGTATATAACTACGCAGCAGCAACAACTCATAACCTAAATCTCTAAATCGCAACTCATTCCATCTCCATCTATCACTCTCTCCGGCGACATCCGTTCCTATATCTAACGACATCCTTCCCCATCTCTAATTTTTTTTACATAATTTTATTTCTATATAATTTTTCAATGATTTATCTCCCAAATTATCAACTATCAACTTAATAAAGGTATGTTTTTCTCTAAGTTAGTGATGATATGTAGTTTATAGCTCGTTTGTTTAGTAAATTAATTTACAATTTGTAGAATGAAATCATCTAATGTTGATCATGTTTGGATAGATTTGTGTTTTGGAGGGTCATGGGAGAATGTTCATGGTGTTTTACAATATATGCCTTTACCCATGAATCTTCAACTAAAACTGTCATTAAAAAAGTTAACTTATGAAACTCTAATGTTACGTGTTGCAAAGAAATTGAATTTAGAGCCTCTAAGTGGATTTAGGTTATCTTATCAGAGAAAATGTAAAGTTTATTTATTAACCGACAATGAAGATGTTGAACGATTCATTGCTTACATTAGTGTTTCGCAAGAATATGATGTTACATTGTATGTTGTTGAACCTAGAAGTAGTGAAGTTGGGTCAGTAGCGGGTAGTAATCAACTAAGTTCTTCAACCCCAGTTTATGGTGCTCACAATGTACAACGTTGTTATCAACCTCAAAATTTAATGATTCCGCCATAATTTCATCACCAAGAAAATTTTGTTTAACCACATTTCCAATACTAAACACAATATCAAACACAATCTCAAATCCCACAACCTTTTCCTAATCCAAATCTCAATCAACTTTCAGCACCAAATTCTGATTTTCTTATTGACCAGTTAGACGATTATGAGCCAACAGAAAATATTGTGAGTACTAGTCAGTATTCGAAATTTGATCTTGGTCAATACCCGGACTTTGATCTTGGTTAATACTCGGATTTTGATGATGTTTCAGAAGAAACATACCCTGCATGTAATGATTTTGATATTGGTCAATACCCGAATTTTGATGATGAAATAGCCGCTGCCGAGGAAGATGTTATTGATGATAATGAGGAGGAAGTTACGACTGTGAATGAACATGTTGAACATCCATTATGTAATTCATATAACCCTAAAGAAAAAGAAGAAGAAGAAAAAGAAGTCCCCGAAGAAAATAAAAAAAAGAAAATGCAACGGGAGTATAACTGGAATATACCAGAATTACTTCAGATACCGGAAGAAGAGTTGGTAAAGATTGCAGTTGATTATTACACAAAAATTATTCATATCAAGAAAGATGATTGTTTTGATACAAAGGAAGACTTGAAGATAGCTTTGTATACGAAATGTGTGGAAGATGGCTATCAACTAAAAGTTAACAAATCAAGCAAATATCGTTTCGAAACAAAGTGTATGATTGACAAAAACTGTACGTGGCGTATGATTGCAAAGATGATAAAAGATTGCAAAATGTTTCAAGTTAGGACTTTTATTGATAAACATACATGTTCAAGAACCCAAGTTTTTCCTCATCATAGACAGTCAAACAAAAAGGTGTGGGTGGTTTTCTGGCTAAGTTAATGTTTTTGAATGGAAGGGTATATCGGGGACATGAAATTATGACTGACATGAATGCTTAGTTCAAGATTAGTATCTCATATTCTCAAGCTTGGAGAGCCAAATGTTATGCCTTGGAATTGTTTAGGGGGTCGCCAGAAGCATCGTTTGCCCAACTGTCGGCTTATTGTCACAATTTAAAGCTGAAAAATCCTGGGTCGGTAACTCATATCAAAACAGATTGAGATGAATGCTTTGAGTTTCTGTTTATCGCCATTGGTGTTGCGGTTAGTAAATCATTATAATTTTGTTGACTCATTTTTGTTAGTTGCATGCATTTCACATTTAAATGATTATATTTCTTGTGTATATGATTTTGTAGATTCGTTCGTTTATTACTTGCATGCGCCCAGTTATTATAGTTGACAGAGCACATTTGAAAGGTTGATACCTTGGAGTAAACTTATTAGCAGTAGCCATGGATGCTAACAATGGGATACTACCAATAGCTTACGGGGTTGGCAAATCTGAAACCTCTGATTCATGGACATGGTTTATGGGGCATCTTAGGGATTGTATAGGTCCTATTAGCAATCTGACAATCATATCCGATAGGGAAAACTCAATTGACAATGCTATTAGAAAGTGTTTTCCAGATGTTTTTCATGGACTTTGTGGTGTTCATTTGTACAGAAATCTAAAATCAAAGTCTGCTGGTATAAAAAATCACAAATGGACATACTGGAAGGCTGTAAAAGCTTATCGGTAAGTGGATTTTAATAAGAATATAAATTGTTTAAGACGTGTTTTGCCTCAATGTGCTCAAACACTAGAAGATTTCGGGTTTGAAAGATGGTCAAGAGTACATCAACTTGGAGCAAGATATGGTTTCATGATGTCTAATAGTGCATAATCAATCTACGCTCTAAGTCGTCATTCCCGAAAATTACCCATTACTATGTTAATGGAGTTTTTTCGAGCCTCTATTCAACAGTGGTACTACAAGAAAAGAAACCATGCAGGTATTATTTCTTTAAATTAGTAACTTATCATATTTAATATATTCTACTAAATATTATTTATTTAAATTTACAGGAACATTGGAACGTCGTGTTATACCATGGACTGAAAAAAAGATAATGAAACGTGTTGTGAAGTCAACGTCATGGAGAATTGAACCATGTTCAAACACTTTGTTTGAAGTATTGGATAATAACTTAAATGGGCTTGTCGATCTAAATGCAAAGACATGTAGTTGTAAGAAATGGCAAACATCTGGTTATTCGTATGGCCATGTTATAAAAGTTGATCTTCATCTAAACCAAGATGATTCAAGCGCATACGCTATGGATTGCTACACTACAGAAGTATATCGACATACTTATGTCGAGATTGTCTACCATATTCTACATCCTTCTGAGTGGGACATACCAGATGACTTACAAATAGTTTTATCATCAGTCATGGACAGCAGGCTACCTGGCCGACCAAAAAATCACGATCGTATACCGTCTAAGGGTGAAGAGAAGAGGATATCGACATGTAGTCGGTGTAAGGAAAGTGGTCATACAAGGTTGACCTGTGGATCACCAGTGCCATCACAATCATCTTTTCCTCTACCAAAATATGGATCCTAATCAAAATCCAAAGCTCGCATGGTGCCAAGCAAAAGGAAATCAAAATCTCAATCAAAATCAAAATCCCAATCACAACCGGCTTCACCTTTTAGGACTTATTAACTTGGGTGATTTTTAAATGCAAACGTTGTATTATGCGTATTTTATGTGTGAATGCATACATTTTCAGTTAGACATTCATTAGTAACTTGAGTTTGAACATTGCTATGATCTGTTTAGTTGTTATCACTTATCAGATTGTTGTTTGTTATCTTTTTGAAGGTGCTTTCCTTGAATTCGCAACGCGAAATCGCAAACCGAAAATCGCAACGCGAATTTGAATTTTGCGTTGCGAATTTTTACCTTCAATAGGTCTTTTTTGCCTTCAACATAATGCAGATTGAATTTAAAACAACAAATCAACTTTTACAAATCAATTAAACAAGCAAAAAAATAA